TAATTCGCGGTCTCTTAAGCCATAGTGTCCAACGAAAAAAATATCTTTCTGGGAAGTAACTACTCAAAAAAAAGAAAGAAAGAAAAAGAAAGAAAAAAAACACTGCACTCTATTCTACTTACTCAATCAGTCATGATGTTAATCACATTAACCATTAAGATTTGGAAATTATGCAAAAAAACCGGTTAATATGATAGGTTTTCAAAAATTTATCACATTTACCAAATTCGGTGGTGATTATGCATAATTACTGGTTATTATATATAATCACCAGTTTATTACTTTTACTGTAAAATATCCATTTTCAAAACCCGTATTCAAAAGAGCTGTGTTCTAAATAAAAAGCTCACAGACGATCTATGCAGCCATGCTGGAAGTCTAGTAAAGATTCTACTTTTTTAAGTACGACATGTTTTATTATGAAGAGTAGAAACGTTGATTTTGACCCGCTGAGAGAGTTGACGTCATCCTCGTGTTCATCAGTGCGGAACACCATTGTTCTCTCTGATTTGTTGTTTTCCTACGTTATGACGTCATTGTCTCCCTTCAAAATGTATCCCTTGTTTTTGTCTCATAACCGCAAAACAGCTTTATTAATATGGTTGCTATTTAGCATGATCATTTCATGAATGCAAAACAAGATTTATTGCAAAATATTGTCCTTGAAAAACAGCTCAATATTCATCATAGTATAAATTAGCAGGGCCTAATTAGATTGTTAATTCGGGGTAATTATTTAAATGTTCTAATTTTGCACTTAATTTAAAGTTGTGCCTTGCTGATTCATTAATCTTCTACAGTAGTCACATTTTTACCCAAAAATACAAATTCGATCAATCCCGGGTAGAAATGTAAAGTTTATTTCCACTCGGTAATTACCTTTTCATGTAAACCTAAAAAGGTTTTTATACAGTTTACGTGTAAACCTTTCCACCTCAAAACGAGGTCTCTCACAATCTGCTACGCTCATTACCCTAATACAAAACTACGAGAAAGAACTTCTTATGTATCAACCTCAATTTCGAGGTTGTCTTAGGGTTTTCCAGCTTGAAAAAAATCCTTGCTTAAAGGTTGTCTAAGGACTATTTTTCGAAGGCTCTGTAGCATGAAATGATGCTTTTTTACGAATGCTATTTATGCTGCTATTTTCATAACCAATATGTATTAAACTGTTCTACCGTAAAGTGCCCAACTTCGCATGCAGATCACCGGGCTATGCCATTCCTTCTGCAGAGGATCAAAGTTATGGCATATCTTCGGATCATCCTCAGGGATGTTTCCCAGACCGTCACCAATAGCTCATTGTGCAGCTCTAAATAAAGTACCTACCTACCTCATAACCAATATGAGTTTGTATACAACAGTTACTCATGAGTCATGACCTTTAGGTCAAGTTTAGTCAATCTTTAGACAGCGCCATCTATGTTTATTCTAAAAATGGCGAAAAACGTTTAGAAAATGAAGTAAAGCCATAGTTTTAAGAAACAGAATAGCTTTTGTAGTCTAATTTTTTATATTTCGAAACTTACTCCAGTGCTGCATTATCTGGGCACATAAAAATTTGAAAGAATGAAGAAAAAAATGGGTAAAAGGCTTTGATTTTGATAATTTTCATCTAAGAAAAAAAAAAATGTAGCCAAATTGGCGGTTTTAGAAAAAGTTTAATAACCTGTAAAATATTTTAGTTATTTGTCCGTTCTAAAGCTCCGATAATTCTTTACAGCAAAATGGCATATACAGTTTAAAATTATAGCTTTGCTTCAAGTGTAAAGCACTTAAACTGGCTTTTCTTATTTTCATTATACACACACGCACACATACAATAATTTGCGATAGGAACTAAAAATAATTGCGCAACCAATTGCATAAGCAGAGTTGGTGAGCATGATGCAGAGAATATGTATAAATGCCAAAAGACGAATGTGTTGATAAGAATATCTTTTTCTAATTTATGACGAAAATAATAAAGATATATGCTTCTATACCAAAATCATTTCCTATTAATACTAACGTTCAACGTGCAAGAAATTTAAAGATTTTGATATATCCCGTAATTACTGTTTTTAAAACATATTTTTAGAATTGTTAAATATTACATCGATAACTGAATGATACAGTTACTAAATATGAAATCAGACAATAATCTGAAATACTACTTTAAGTATACTTTTGTAAGATGCTACAAAATATGTCTGACGTACAACGAAAAAAGAAATTATTACTGGGCAACCTCTTATGTTGTTGTTGTTAATGTACGTCGCACTAGAGCTGCACAATGGGCTATTGGCGACTGTCTGGGAAACATCCCGGAGGATGATCCGAAGACATGCCATCACAATTTTGATCCTCTGCGGAGGGGATGATACCCCCGCTTCAGTAGCCCGACGACCTGCGCGCGAATGGGCAACCTCTTAATCGTCCGACTTTTGTGCACCTCAAGAACAGTAGTTGGTCGGGGTAGCCTGGTTGCCAGGACGTTTGACTCTTGTGCGTGAAAAAGGAAAATTCGAATCCCACCGGCCGAAGAATATTAAATGGTGACTGGTGCACGCTAAATCTGTCAGTGTCACTAAGTCCTCCAAAATCCCATAACAAATCAATTCCTCTGCGCAATTATACGCAATTATAGATTGATTGTTCTCTGGTTCAGGTCAAAATTACGATCTGTGGATGGATGAAAACGGGCTGTGACGTGTTTGTGTGGCTGAAATAGTATTCTTAGCCATAGATTTCGCCACTAAAAAAACATGAAACGCACCCTTTAATTTACTTGCTGCATTGGGAAGTGGTAATAGAAACAACAGCAACAAAGAACTGTTGAACTGTTACTGACCTATTCAATAGATATAATTTAAATTTCCTATTTTATAATTTCCTATTTTATAATTACTACTTTGAGATTATGCAAAAAATTGCATACCTTACAATTTTAAATTTTTCGACTATTGTTGAATAAAAATCAACTAACAATTATTAAAAATGTGTTTGTAGCTGGAATTACATTGTATAAACGAACTTAATTGTCATAAATGTCAACTTTCTCCAGACAGCGGAAAAAAATATTTTTGAGTGGTAGTCTATTAACGCATGATTCTCGATTTTGTAAATTCGATTTATTAAGTTTTTCTCACCACTACTTCTAAGTATTTCAAAGGCTTATGTGAAATCGACCCTTGGTTACAGTGAAGCAGTCTAAAAAGTTTTCAAAATTAACCGAAAATCTGCAAATTTTAATTTGTCGTACTCTATCGTTTTTTAAAATATTTTTTCAAATCGACAAAAAATACTCCATCATTTGGCAGCTTCTATTGTATACAATTGATATATATTGTATACTGCATTGTATACAAAACAATTTTGAGTCGCTTCGAGACATGGCAAAATACGCAAAAAAAAAAGTCAAATTAATAATAAAAAGCCTTAACTTCAGTATCTACTCTCCAGACTAAACTTATTTTTTCCAGGTTGCCTGTTATATCTTGATAAATCTGATTTCGTCGGTTTGTTCGGTTCGAAGCGTTTTTGTGTCTGATTTCGTAACTTAAAATATTGTTCGATTATATTCAGTTCAGTTCTTCATTTGTTTATATTTCTTGAGGATAGTCTTTCGCCAATAAATGCTCCTCTTCAATATAATTTTCATTTAAAATTGTAAATTTCCACGTGCAATTTAAAAATTCAAATATTCAAAAACATGAGATATAAAAACATGAAAATACAAGTTCAATTTTTTTTTGTTATAGAAAAAATTTCTATCTGAAGAGAAGTTTACTTTTTATTTTATTTTTAAAGTGACACATTGGTTGTCATTCTGGCTTAAGACTTCAGAACTGTTTTTATTTCATTTTATTTATTCTTTATATTTGTCACGTCAAAAAATTATTCTTTTAAAAATTTCCTGAAGTTGGGAAATTGTTTTTCTTCTTCACTATCTTGAATTTGTTTAATACCGTCAACATGATTCTGATAACGCGGCTCCACATAATCACTATCAGTCTCAAGAATATTAGAAAAGTCAAGATTATTTTTAATTTTGCTATTTAAATCTTTATTTTTTAGGAATCTTTATTATATAGTATTTTATTTTTCTTCAAGTTAATCTTGTTCACATTCCTGTTATTTTTTATGTCCGAAATTTTCTTTTTTTTAACGTATTCATTATTTGTTTATTGTTATTAGATTTAAAAATTTTTCTTTCTTTTATTTTTACATCCTTTGTTTTTATTTATACTTTTGTTTTCTTCATTTGAATTATTTTCGCGATTTTTAATCTAGATTTCAGGAGAAATGGGTAAGGACAAGGTGATTCTATAATCAGAAAAAGTGATCAATCAGTGTTCAAATTTATTTCTGTCGTTAATTAATGAACATCGCTTGATAGGCGGGACTCTCTTACGGTTTGTCTATGGTAAGAACTCCCCCCGCCATGGAGTCTGAGGCCGTCTGCTGCTATGGAAACAAGAATAGCTCATTTCAGGAGGAGGCCGGGATGGCCTGGTTGGTAGGGCACTGGGCCCATGTTCGTGGGTTCGATCCAAGTCGACCGAAGGCTCCCCGGGTAGTAAATGGTGACTGATGCACGTTAAACCTGTCGAGTCGCGAAGCCCTCCATGTTCCCATAACAAAGCAATACCTCTGGGGGTACTGATCCAGGAGTTTCCTTGTCTTCTGGACTGGGTTCAAAATTACAAGGCTACGTAGTTGAGTATTAGTAATCGTAAACCCAAAGATTGGGTTGGCTGTTCAACGACGGATATGTATTCATTTCAGGAGGTTAGCTTCTTTTCACTCGTTATCACAATTGACATCAGAAAAAGATTCCCTTTCTCTCGCTCACTCTTAGCCAAAACCTGTCCTACGCAATGATCCCTACTTGAAATAGTTAATCTCGTTGCCATGGGTCCAGACGAATGGCTAGGGGAGTTCTTTCATTAGACAAACTATACTTGTTTTGTTTGTTATCATTTATGTAAGATCTAAAACATTTCCCATTTTTATAGGTAGAATATATTACAGGTTTTGCTTACGAGGATTTTGCCTATTTCTTGACTACTCAGAGAATATCTATTGAGTCTGAGAATTATGAGACACGGTTGGTAAGGGTGTGCACTAAAGACAGCGCCTTCTTCTCGTATACCGAGGTGCCCATCAAGTGTCAGTATGGCCTCGAGGTGTACAACTTGGCCACTGCAGCCCACCTGGGCGTTGTGGGTCCCCAGCTGAAGCGTAGGCTCAAACTTGATAAAAAGGTCGACGTTCTGTTTGTGTCATTCATCAAAACATTGCCAGGACATGCTGCTACGATGGACAACTCTAAAGGTTCGGTCATCTGTTCTTTCCCCATGTCCACCATTATTGATTCTTTCACCAACGCCACGAGAGATTGCTTTAAAGCTGAACCACGGACACACCTTTTGAAACACGTGACTGGGATTGATTTGCCCTGCAACCAACAGGTGAGTGCCCAATAACACAAATAGTATTTCACATCATTGCGCGCGTGGTTTCGCTAGCGTTACAAATACATATCTGGAATCTAACAAGACCACCGCTAGCTTAAAATAAAAAAACAAAAAACGGGAAAATTTTATCTTATCCCAAAAGCTTGTAGTGTAGTTTAATGAATTTATTTAAGTATAAAGAAGGTTTCCGCCACTTTCGTGTTTTCGTTTAAACATTTGAACTTATATCCAATGTCTTATTTATCATTTTTACACGTACAATAAACTAAACGGTTTCCTATTTTCTATAAATGAAATGAGATTTTTATAATTTCAGAATTGGCACAAATTCCTCTTAAATATACTTTTTAATTCGCAATGAAAAGACAGTTTTTACTTTCAAAATTAAATATTTGTTACATCATAGATTAATGGTAGGCATAACGTTTATAAAACATCAAAAGTATATCTTTCCGCAAATAGTGAGCTAAACAGCTAGCGCTGGTAAAGTTCAGCATACAAATTCTGAACCCTTAATGATCAGACGTCATGCAATTGCTGGAATTATCTTTCAGAAAACTTGTGTAATTTTGTAACCTTCTAGTGTAAATGTTTGCGTTAACTTTCTTAAGGGCCTTTCACACCTGCCGAGGGACTGAACTGAACCAGAGGAAAAACTCGTCATCCAGGTTCTCAGAATTTGCATATATGAATTTTTCGCATGCACTGAGTACTTTATTTAGGTTGCAATATAACTGCACAATTGACCATTGGTGACAGTCTGGGAAACGTTCTTGAAGATGGTCCGAAGACGTGCTGTCACAAATTTGATCCTCTGCGAAGGGCTTCCTTGCTTTGGTAGCCAGACGACTTGCATGCAAAGTCGAGCACATTACGGTAGAACAGTTGAACGAGGACCGATACCGCGCCCCCTCGGTCCATCCGCATGCTTTGCTAATCATAGCACGTACGTTGTTTGTAAACGAGACTGGAACGAAATTAAATGAAAGTGTGATGTATTTGTAGGAAGACTTCGTTGTAAATGATGACTTCTGTGGATCAGGCCTGAATCACTACATAGCTGGTCGTGAATCAATACCCGGAGGATTCAGGACCCATATAGAGAACCATGTTACGTCCTTAGCCACCACTTTGCAAGAGGGAAAAACAGTGGCTGTTGCTGGTTCAATCACGGGACATGTCTATAAGGTGAGTACATTCAATCCATAGACCAAGTAATACTGCCGTAAGGTGTTTTATATAATCGATATTATACAGCCGAGCAATAAATGATTTCAACTCTTTGTCACTTTCAACACAGTGCAGTGAAAACTCATTTTGTTAATTCTATTTTAACAAAGCAGATAAATAAATAAAGGTGGCGATTGAAGACTGACACGAACAAATTTCGAACTAAGTATTGCTATTCTAGCCTTGCGTCACTAAGTAGAACCTTCTAACTGATTTACGTACAAATTTGATTTTGTCAAAATAGAAATAAATCATTAAAAAAAACAGGCATTATTTTTTTTCCATCTTTTTCAATCAATTTTTAATTGAGGGGATCGGTAAGAGAATTATAAAGTTTTTGGAGGTTGATAATTAAAAACATTTGGCGGCTCCTGATCAAAATGATTTCACACTGTGCCATCTGTGACGTCATTTTGCGACGCATTAATTGAAAAAAAAAAACTTGGTCCATTTAAATTGGAGCAACTAACAAGGACTCTGTCTTTTGTCAAATCTCTTTTTTATTAAAAGAGTGAAATTTAGTTTATTTCTCATCACGGAATCATAAAATCTCATTAAAAACTGACAGCTTGGAGACTCCATTTATAAATGTGTTCTTTTCTGAGACAAAATAAATGAAGTTTTCCGTTTTGTTTGTAACACACTTCTGTCAGCTGAAAATAAAATGGCATTTTTTTCAGAAGCATTGTTTATTTAGTGTCAAATAGATTCACCAATTGAAATTAATTTAACTCCCTCTTTTTGTTTTCACTCGTTGATTAATATTTATAGTTATAAAGGTTTATTTGCAATTCATTTAATAAATTATGCTTGATTGTGATTAATTTGATCGTTTGTGGCCTTTTTTCTGAGCTTATAGCCAGTAGATGCTTATTGGAAGACAAGAGAAAAATTTAGGTTTTATTTACCATTTCGAAGTCGGTATATAATTCAACTGTTTCTTCTTATTTATTTATTTCTTTTATTAGTGACGGCTGTTAAATAAATAAAGAAAGAAAATAGCAAAATCAAAGTTTTATTTATTTTTCTATTAAATAATTGCTCAACCTATCTTGGATAAGATATGACTAGATTCTTGGATAGAATAGACTTTTGGATAGAATAAGACTAGAATAATTGGGTATACTATAGACTACGTCACAGATCGTGTTATTCCTTCTAGATTTAACTAGTAAACAGCCTTTTCTGCGAACCTGATTTCCAGCAACAAGTAAAAGCATCAAACGAAGTGTCTTGTTTATAAGTCGCTACTCGCCAGGTTGGAATTGTATTAGTCTAGTTCCTTTGGAAGTAATTTATATTGTTGTTTTACCGAAGTTTATGAATTTAGTAAACATATTTAAAACTCAGTTTATTAATTAAACTAAAAGGTAAATGTTATTCCTAGTAAGTGGAAGTAGTTGTGCTTTTTTCATATTATACCCAATTTAGCCAACGTGTCTTAAATTAAGCTTTATACATGACACATTAATGAAACAAGTTTATTTTCAATTATTCTTCTGTATTGTTATCAATTAACTCCTTGCTTTTTTTTCCCTCTCTCTGGCTTAGTCAATCGATGATTAATAGTTTATTCTATGAACAAGACGTCCCTCACAGTTACGTGTATTATCTGTTTTGATTAATGTATTTTGCGTTTGAAATAACTTAATATTGTAACGTAAAAATTTCCTCTGAAGAAAAGGAAATATCATGAAGGCACTTATTTGTGAATGATTTTTTTTATTAACGTTTTAAAGGCAATCCAGTTATTTATTTTGAAAAAAGTAGAAAAAAACGACAAAACTCTTGATAGAAGGAAAAAAAGGTTTAAGTCCAGGTTGACAGCCTGTTTTTACTTAGCAAACAAACCCAGTGAAAACTGAAAACTTCCTCATTCATCTTATATAAGCAGAGCCCGAAGGGAGGGGGGATACCAAGGGGCGCAAGTCATTACAGACATTGTAAGAGAATTACTTTTCCTTTTTTTTATTTTATTTTTTTTTACTTTCTACATATATTAGACAATTTTGTAGTTCCAAAACTGTAAATTGAATATTTAAGGATATTTTTGATTATTCCAGGACTAATTTTTTACTATTTGGGGGAATAATTTCTTAGTGGGTAATTTTTTTCCAGTCAAATTTATCATACCATAGATGTTCTACTTTACAGAATATAACAAACATGAGAAGCACATTTGCAATACGTGGTTTAGTTTGAAGGGGATGGGAGATTTTTAAGTGGCGAGATAGATTTCAAAATATTTTTTTTATTTTCGGGCGGATATTTTTTCGAACTTTGGTTTTTAATGGGGTTGGTTTATTATATCTTTATGTTTATTATATCTTTAACTCAAAATAAACATAATGCGAGGAATGCACTTGTAACCAGTGCATTAGTTGAACATAAGTTTTAATTTTTATTTTCTTTCGGTTGGGGGGGGGGAGATTTATTTCAAAACCTTTTTTGATGGGATTATTATTTTGATCACTTTTATTTAATCTTTATTACATTTGTATAAGATGTTGGAGTTATAAAAGAAGTTTCTACGCAACACATTTTTTATGTGACTGCAGTGTTAGTAAGTCTTCTAAAGATTAAATTAAGAATAAAACTCCTCAATTTTGGCTAGAAAAATAAATTCATTGGTACCAGTTTATAAAGAATTGTAATGTAATGCCAAAATTATTGACTTAAAGCAGTGATTCCCAAAGTGTGGTACGTGTACCCCGAGGGGTACGGGAACAGTTTAGCGGGGGTTCTCGTTCTTATGCAAAATATCTTGCAACAAACGAAAATTTCAAAAAATTTTATTTGAAAACAAAACTGGCCATGAAAGTTTACGATTACGTATTTTTTTATTGTCTATTTTTTGCAGAGTTAACAGTTAATAATTAGTGGTGTCAACAGCCAGTTGTGATTTTTAACTTTTGTGCAATTTTTTATAGTAAAAAATACATAAATTTTTTTATTAGTGGTACACAGCGTTACGAAAAATTTAGAAAGGGTACACAAAGGTCATAAGTTTGGGAAACACTGACTTAAAGGATCCCAATAGGGGAGGAAGAAATATATTTTCTTGAATATAATGAAGCAAAAACAAAACTATAATTTTGAAAGGTTTTATACATATAATTATAGGCGTAGCGTCGGGGAGGGGGCACGGGCCCCGTCAATATTTTTTCTAAATTTTTAAATTTTCTAAAACTATTATTTTTTAAAACGAAAATACAATAAAAACTATTTTTAATTTAATAAAAATCAATAACTTTAGATAGTTTTATCAATAATTTAACGAAATAATTCTATGTTTAGCATTTTTTTGCAAGTGGTATTTTAAAACCCATTTAATGATATTTTTAAAATTATTTCGATTATTATTACATGATTTGAGCATTAGTTTATAACAGTGGTTACTAGTAATTTAGTTTAATTTATGTTCAATATATTTTTTTAATTTCAAATATATTCTATTAACATAATGTTATAATTTTTAGATATACCATATACATTTTGTAACTGTCGAACGTTTTTAGTATTGTTTTAACTTATTTTTGTCCTACAGCATTAATAAACAACTTCCAGCTTGTTTAGAACTCTAAATTTATGTTCTGATTTGTTCTACTTATAAATTTTTAGGGGTAATTTGATAGAATACTTATACTTAATATTCACATAATTTTTAACCAATAAGTTTTATTTCCATACGCATTGGATAATACCATATTCTTTTTTCATTACTAATAAATTTTAAATCTAGCGTATGAATTTTCCGTCTGTTTCAATAGAATATGTTCTAAACTATTTTATTGATTATCAAATAAATTTTGTAAACCTAGCACCGGACTTGGAAGAACAGGATTGCACTAAACGCTTTAAGATATAAGAAAGTGGCATATTATTGCACATAGAGTAAATGTTATTCTTAAAGGAATTTTCATATCAAGGAATGTTAAGTTATAAATAAAGTGCATTATCATTTCTAACATCATTATTTAAATATTACTTACTTTGAGTTTCATGTTTATTTATGTTTTCCTTCTCCCACAGGTTAATTTGGAGAAAACGAATAAACCGAACTGCTTACTGTATGTGAAAAATATTTCTGATCAAGAAATTCAAAAATCTAATGCTTTTGATCCCAGCCATGAAAATATTTATTTCCTAACAGGCAACATGGTAATAATCCTATCCTTTTTAGTCAAATATTTTCAACAATTAAAAAGATGAATTTGAACATAATGGTCATATTTCCCAAGTAGGGGAGTGTCGGGTACCCCCGCCCACTGTCAATTTCATATGTATAGAATATTTTTTCAAGTCAATGGGCCATCGGCATCGGACATTAATTGTTACATTAAAAAAAGATTATTCATAAGATAAGAAGTTTCAAGTATTTATGCAGCTGGTAAACAATAGTTTTGAAAATATGTTGAATACAGTAGTCATGAAATTAAGATAATTTTGTGATAAAAATGATAAACAAGGTTTATCTATTGACCTATTGTCAATACATTGGTCATTTTCATTTACACCTGAAAAAACAGTAAAAAAAACCTAATTTTTGTAACTGGGCGGAGCTACCCGACACATTTTGAAAAGAGCTGAAAAACATATTTTTTTAAGTTAAACTATTCTTTTTTTGGTTTATTCTTTTTGCATTATTTAATGGATATTATGGATATTTGAAGCTTCTTCTAAAATGAGCTTTATCTATTATATTGAATTTATTCAGGGATAGGGGATAAAAAGAGGGTGAACCTTAAACATTGCTATCTAGACAAGTGAGGTTTAATGATCTCTGTGTTTTTTTTTAACGCTAAACCGAATGAAACCTAATGCAAGTTGTCAGAAATGGTAGTTTAAAAGTTTTTACGTTTCTGAGGTACCGTCTTTGTATGTGCTTTTTATACTAAATTGAATAAAATAAAATTTAAGCCTCTAAGTTTATTGGTTCAGAAGCTATATGAGGGTTTTTAGAATGCAAAAAGTAAAAGTTTTGACAAGTACCTATTTATTTGCCTGATATTGTTATCTGGACAAATAAGGTAATGTTTCTTAGGTATATTTCTATTTATATTGAATTGAATGCTATCAAATCCTAGTTTACAGGGAATTTAGATACTTTATGTGTTACGTGTTTTGACTTATGTATCGTTTTCCTAAAATAAGAACTTGTTTAGGGAATCTTAACCTTAGAGTGAAGAGAAACTACCCTCCCTGAAATGCGCTATTCTTGTTTCCATAGCAGCAGACTGCCTCAGACTTTGTGGCAGGGGGAGTTCTTACCATAAACAAACTATACATAACCCCTATCTTGACCCGTGCTGTATTTTATTTCACTCTGAAATCCAATGAAATCAAAATTTGTCCTTGGTACCTTTCCACACCCTTAAGTAATAAGCCAGAACAATTCAAAAGAGACCTGAAAGTTTGTTTTTTCTTTGATGCTGTTTCTATTATTGTTAAGTCTGTTAATGAAGTTAAATTTTGTTAAGTATAACCAATATTTTTGCGATATTTTTGCTTAAGCAGGAACTTCTGTATATCATTCTCATGATTAATGTTTTAAGATCCTTTAAAACATAATTTAAGCTTACCAAAAAAACTGTTCTTTAAGAAGTTTTTTTCTCATGAAATTTGCTGTAGGGAGCATGGGTACTGTTTGCAGGTGAGGGGGGTATATTTCCTCTTCAATTATTAGAAATTTCTAAATGTCTTCCTCAATATTTTAGACAAACAGAAAATTTTATCAATCATTATGGATTCAAATTCACTGGAGGTAAAGAAACAAAAAAGATATTAATCTTTTTACAGATGTTTAGCAAATTTAAGAAACTTATTTTGTTTTGAGTGAAATTTAGAGTGGGATTAGGTATTTTAGTGTGCCCGTGTATTTTGATTTAGTCTCTCTCAAAACTTAGACACCTGCAACGCTCATGGTAAAATAGGGATTTTAAATTGCATAGATAAAAATTAGAAAGCTTTTTTTCTTTTCTGAAAATATGCTTTCCGCTTAACAGGTGGTTAAGTTTCCGGTTGGTTCCTGTTCATTGTATACGGACTGTGGCAGCTGTTTGAGTACAGAGGATCCTCTAGGGTGCGGATGGTGTGGTGACCACTGTGCACACGTCAGTGAGTGTGACAGGCCGGACACAAGGACCACGAACTCATGCTCTCCAATCATTCACCAAGTAAGAACTTCTCTCATTGATGGAGTCTGGTAGATAGCATCATAAAATATTTAATCCAATTGCAAGGGCCGGCCTAACCATTTCCGACTCCCATAGGAAAAGAAATTCATAGTGTGTATAGATATATAGATATGTTTTTGTTTTTTTAAACTTCAAGCAGCAGCACTTGATATAGATACATCATTTGCTGGCGTGTAAAAACACTCCTCACAGTCCCATAAGGAATAACAACAAATTAAACAAAAATTTGAAAACATCAAAACATTCGAAATACAAAAACAATTCGAACAAGGAAATATTAAATAGAATATCAATGTAGAAATATAAACAGAAAATCAGTCAGCTAGCAGAGCCTGCAACTGTTCCCTAGCATTCCAGTATCTGTCATCGATGTTGCAGTAACTGCAGGGCAAACCCCTCAAATTCTCAGCATTCATTGGGACGTCCTCCCCGCACAAGACACAGTTTTATATATATTATAATTTATTAAAGATCAAAAATGCATTTAAAATAATTATCTGATTTAATGATCTAATCTAATGTAATAATTATCTGATTCAATGTTACATACGGATATGGGCAGATAAATTCATAGCTCAAACATTTTATCCCCAAAATAAAATACACGAAAAGACTTACATTTTACGGAAGGAGTGAAAAAAAAAATATCATACTATCCTCTTGATAGAAAATTTACAATAAAACAGTAAAAAATTTATTTTTTTAAGTAAATCGTAAACTTGAAGGTTGGCTAAGTTTGTCTAATGCAAGTTCTGGTTTTGCAAACGGCCTAAACAAAACCATTTTCTTTAATTTGACTGTAATAAATTGAGAATACATAAAAGTTTTAAAATTATATTTGTAGGTTTTAGACAAAGCTTTATTTCAAAATTGTAGGATAAAAAATAATCAAAATAAATAAAAAAAATCAAAATTCGGCTTCATAATTTGTTTACAGTTGTACTCATTTAGCTTCACACTGAATGTCTTATTTTTAGAGCTTATACAAAATCCAGTATACAGATCGATTCTTTATTTTACTATGTGTATAGATTTTAAATTATGCAACAGTCTTTGAACTAAAATATATTACGAAATATTTATATGTGCCATTAGAATTGAAAATAGACAATTAAAAAAATCACAAGAAACAAATTTATTTTTAAAAATTACTGGAATTTCAGTTTCTTTGAACGTATATTTATACAATTTTTCCGATTTTTTTTCTTGGGGTATTTTAGTTAAATTTCCTGGTATTTTCCTGATTTTCTCAGATTGATAAAATTTCTCAACTTTTCCCTATTTTCACTGTTCTATGGCCCACCTGGATTAGTATTTTGACGCATTTCTAATTTTGAAGCACTCCCTCTTGAGTACTTTATTCTATATTTTAATCTCTTCGATTTGAGAGAAATTGTTGATATTTTAGGTGAGTCCTGTCCGTGGACCGACAGAAGGTGGAACTGTGCTGACTATTTTGGGCGATAATTTTGGGTCATCTTACAGTGGAGAACTGAACTCTAAAATATTGATCAAGGTGGCTGGATATCCATGTGAAATCATTTTGTGGGAGAAGGAAAAGTAAACCTTATTTTAACCTTACTTAAACTTTTTGAATCTTATTTTAGCCCAATAAAGTGTACTCTACATTAATGTTAAATACTTTTGCCCCCACTTCTTAACTTGTGAAAGCAGTTTTAAAGCTAATTCAATTAATAAAAGATTAAAAACAGTATAATTTCCACTTAAAATGTCATAGTTTTAAAGCAATTGCTTTAGATACCATTTAATAGAGGTTTCTAAATATTTAATCATTTTAGGTTAATCCAAATAATTGTTTTGCTTTTTTCTATGTGCTACATGGAATAAAGTAAAACAGCATGGATGAAGCACAAATAATGCTGTAGAAATGGGCATACTATAGTTTCAGTTCAATAAACAAGAAACGTCCTCAATGTTTGTTGTTCATATGCTGAAGAAGGTTCTTGTTTATTGAACCGAAACTTATAGTATGTCCATTTCTACACCTCTATTTGTGCTGTATACATGTTTTTTTTCTTCTCTTAATTATTTCAGTTTGAGTTACATCTCACTGCAGATTCAATCTCATCATGATTGTAATCAGGTTTGAAGTGAACTCTTTAAGCTACAAAGAAACAAAACGTATGTTATTTTACTCAAAAAGAAATGATGAAAATATTTTTTTTAAAAATGTATTATTGAAACATTATTTTGATAATGAAGTTTATTTACATAGTAAGTCTAGAACGTAATGTCACTAATTTTAATAAGAAGCTAATACATTCTCCAGTATTCTCAGATTAGTTGTAATCGATTGCGGGGTGGGGGGCATTCAGTGTACAAATGCGTAGTCTCTCAGTCATATCTGACTACCTGGGGAATGAAAACATTTTTATGAAATTCATTTGTGTCTCTTTTGGAAACTGCCATGGAAAGTACTATGGAATAGACAACTAGTTAACTTCTTATTTTGTGATGTAGCTAAGCTAACTGGTAACCAAGCTTCATTCTAAGATACAAATATTTGCCTCATCATTGCCCGGAACATAAACAAACACCAATTCTAAAGCAACAAACAAGCAGAAAGCAGAGCTTGTTACGTAATAGAACCTCTTTACTGGCTTCAGAGATCAACTCAATCAAGACAAGACAAATATTTGCCTTGAAAACGAAACACTCACGAGGCTCTGTACCATTCCAGTTGTGTATTCTGCAGGTTTGTTGTTGTTAACTTTTTCCATGTTTAAAACAGCCTTTACTGATAGTTGTTTATCCGATCACCGAGTCCACTGGAGTAATTTATTGAAGAATCTGAAGCAATAATGCTGGAGGGTCATCAAATACTGACTTCAACAAAAATGTGAATGAATTCTTCAACTCTGATTATTATTTGAGTATTCATTTGAAGATGAAGTCAATAAACATTTCAAATAAATACAACTTAGTATTACTGAAAATATGAAACTTCAAAATGACAACGTGTTTTGCCCCCACCTCCTTGTTTTGACCGACTTAAAGATGCTAACAGTTAATCAGCTGCCCTAAAGTTCCGACGTGGGTGGGATTCTTCTTGTTCGGGCACGTGAAAATCCCCTTGAAAGGACAAAATTTTGGGACAGTTGGCAAAATCGAGAGACTTTAAGGAATATTTAGAAAAATTTTGCGAATTTTAAAAAAAAACAATTTATGCTGATGGTTTAAAGGCAACTTTTATGTAGCATAAAAATAAATTCTACTCTTGTAGGCATTACTAAGATTTTTTTGCTTACATTTTTTGGAAAAGAATTATTGTACCTCATTTATTCCAAGAATTCTTTATTTTATCATTATTCAAAGTGAAATGAGATTTTTGATCTAAAAAAGATGCTGTAAAAATAATGTGAAATTAAGATTCAAGAAAAAAGCCCTTACAGATAGGACATAAAGACAAACAATAAAGTAATCTGACACATTTTTGAACCATGTTTCAATATATTATGGATTCAAAATTCGCGTAGCTTCTAAGAAAGGCATACATATTTTGAACACATATTATAAATAAAAGTACAAAACTTTTCCTCAAGGTTAGTTAAAAGTTATTTCAGCCAGTAATATAAAAGCCATTTGCTTTTTTCTTACAATGAATTCTTTAATATCCAGCACATTCGGTAAACTAAAACTAATAATTGCAACAATTTGTTACCAAANAAAATGGAATTGAATCGTGAACATTTTCGTGCCATTATTTTTCATAACTTTCGATTCAAGAGTGCTTCGATGAACTTAATTCTTTATTCAGCGATAAAGCGCCATCCTATAGCACTGTAAAAAATTGGTATAACGAATTTAATCGTGGTCGATGTTCGATCCAGGACGAATCCCGTGCAGGCCGTCCAAAATTCGTTGTTGTGCCAGAAAAGATCGATGCTGTGCGTGAACTGATAAAGCAAGATCGTCATGTGACATACTGTGAGATAGAGGCGTCTTTGGACATTAGTATGGCTAGCATCAATAAAATATTGCATGAACATTTGAGCTTAAAAAAAATTTGTTCGCGTTGGATCCCGCATAATCTGACAAACGCTCAAAAAAAGGCTCGTGTCTATTGGTGCAAGGAAATGTTGGAAAAATACGTTCAAGGTACATCAAAGGCTGTGTATAACATCTACACAGGTGACGAATCATGGATCTATGCATATGAGAAACACAACAGCAATATGAGAAGCAAAACAGCAATCAACTGTATGGGTCTTCCAAGACGAGGCAATCCAAGATGATGCATTTAAAACGCATGTTTTGGAGTTACCTCAATCGGACTGAAAAAAGTGCTTTGAAAATTGGTTCAAACGCATGCAAAAGTGTATTGATCATCATGGAGAATATTTTGAAAAACAATAAAACCACTTTCGATGCTACATATTTGTTTTTTCATTATTAGGCCAGAAATATATATAGCAACCCTTGTATTATAAATAAAAGTACAAACTTTTCCTCAAGGTCAGTTAAAAGTCATTTCAGCCAGTAATATAAAAGCCATTTGCTTTTTTCTTACAATGAATTCTTTAATATCCAGCACATTCGGTAAACTAAAACTAATAATTGCAACAATTTGTTACCAAAAATTATAATTGAAGTAATGTTGACTGGTCTTACATGAAAATATTATACTGAAACTTTTAATAATGTATTTAATATTCTTAATTTTATTTCTTCCAATGATTCGTTCGCCTTTCAATGAGGTAAACCGGGTTTGAATCCCTGTGAGTCCTGGTTTAAACGAATCCACATCCGGCCTGCCCCGACCACAGTGCTGGTATGAAATATCCTCAGTGGTAGACGGATCATGGGTTAGAGTCCCTTAGTCGTTAGACTAATTGTGGGAGGTTCTCGTGGTCTTCCTCTTCATGTAATGCAAATGCGGGTTAGTTCTATCAAAAAGTCCTCCACGAAGGCAAATTTCTCCCAATACTTGATCCAGGAGTTCCCTTGTCTTCTAGATTGGGTTCAGAAATATACAAGGCTGCGATGTTGAACATTTGTAGTCGTAAACCCAAATATTATGTCGGATGTTCAACGACGGTTATAAAATAAAATAAAAATTATGTGGATTGCAAATATTTATGAAAACAAAGACTTAAAAAAAAAACTTTTATATTTTGAAAAAAAAAACTATTTAAGTTGTCTGTCTTTAGGATAAAATGCAAGACCTCTGCTGTACAATTAAGTATATCGGGACCAGTTGAAATAGATGTGGCTGATCTATCATGGAGTCACGGCCAATACGACATGAAAGGAATCGCCCACAGCTCTAGAAATTTTTCTTACGTTGTGAGTAACAAACAACTTTTATGATTATTTTATTTGTATATAAGTATGTATGAGGGACCGTACAAATATTATTTAGACTCCTAGTTAAGGGGAATAAAAATTTGGAAGAACAATTTAGCTTTGTAAAATCTTGTGATAGTAAAATTTTGATTTTTCAGATACCAAAACTATATGGCGTCTATCCGAGCAAAGGTCCAGTTTCAGGGGGCACGAACATTACTCTTTTTGGTCAGCAGCTAAACGTTGGTTCTTCATACAGCATTATTGTTGCTCGGACACCCTGTGTAGATGTGAGGTATGTTTGCTTTATATTAATGAGATTAGCTATTTTGAATATGTTCTCACCTCATGTGTATGGCAACTAATAATTTCGATCATTCTAAAGATACGAAATCTGTAATCATTGCTTTTTATACATGTTTTGAGAGAATTTGTCAAAAATGAAATTACTAGAACTTACTTATTTCACTTTGAAAATTATAAAATTTAATTTCATAAGAATAAAAACTTCATCTAAACCTGATGAAATTTTTGTCCAAGTCAAAAAGAGCAGCAAAGGAGAAATTAAAATAATAAATTTCACTTCATTTGTTTGGGGAAATTAAAAAGTATTCTTGATACTTTTAGTTTCACCAAACAAATGTATGATACTTCAGATTTTGAAGACTATTTTCTTGTCATTAAAATGCCTGCATTGCATAATTTCACTCATATGTATTTTAAAAAGTGTTGTTCAGTGCAAAAAAAAGGGGGAGTTTTGTGAATACGTAATTTGATTTAATGACTGGAATTTTAGCCTTAAATATATCCTAATTAATTAGTGGTGGGTTTATTTTAAGTTGCGAAACACGGCAAAAAAGTTATTTTCCCTGAATTAACAAACTTTTATTTTGACGGTTTTGGATTAGTTTCACTTTTTGAGTATTTTGCCACATTTCAAGAACTTGTTTAAGTGAATTGAACAATATTTGCAAACAATTCTAAAATTTATTTATTTATCCCAAGATAATTCCATATAAATAAAAAATTTTTTGTTATTTATTATTTTTTATTGATTCATTTAGTAGTTGTAGAAGAATTTTAAACTAAACACATTGCCATAAAAATTAGCGTACATAGAAAGAGTTGTCAGCATTTTACATACATAAGTACAACATTGATATGAGTAATTAAAAAATCTAAACAAATTTGATCAGTTATTGCAGGAAAAAATACAAATGAATGGAAATTTTTGCACTCTAGCATGAATGCAGTACATGATGCAGTTGGGCATTGAGTCGTTCCACAGTTTTTGCAAAAACATTATTAAATTGACTCAACTTGGAGGATGTCTGAAGTGGTTCCAGATACCATTAGTGACAAATCTGGAGATCGAGTAGGCCAGGGAAAGGTGGTTATGTGACATCTTTGCTATGTATTGTTTTGTTTCATTTTATTATTGTTGTTGAACAGCCGACTCAATGTTTTGGGTTCACGACTACTAACGTTCATTTCGGTAGCCTTGCAATTTTGAACGCAATCCAGAAGACAAGGGAACTCTTGGATCAAATATTGGGAGAAATTTTGTCTTTGTGAAGGACTTTCTGATGGAACTAACCCGTATTTGCGTTACATGAAAGGAATACCATCAAAACCTCCCACAGTTAGCATGGCAGCAAGGGACTCGAACCCATGATTCGTCTACCACTGAGGATATTTTATGTCAGTGCAAGCCTGATGCGGGATTCGTATCATCCATCCTTCACTGGGATTCGAACGCTCTATCCTTAAAAATTTCGTTTTTCGATAACTAATCGAATGATTTACTGTGATGCACTGATTGGTTGAGTATATCAATGGTTTAGCAATTGGTGCTGATTGAAATGCTACTGGGAGGGCTTACATAATCTGATCCTATCACATATAATTCAGAAGCAGGTCTAACTGGTAAAAATTTTGAGCCCCGCTATAAGAATAAATGTATTCATGTAGTTTTCCTGCTATTTCAGAGTGAGTGAAAATTTTGTATGGTGCATCACTGGCAACCTAAGTCCCGCTAATCTGGTCCCTCTGAGGGGTCCAGTTGAAATGTTGATTGACGATTCAGTTATCGAAGTGGAAGCTGATATGAGAGTCGATAATGATGTGCCACTTTCAAAAGATTTCTCATATTTACCAGATCCAGAAATATTTCGAATAATTCCACAAGTTACAACCATAAGGTAAGGTTAATTAACAATTTACTTTAAAAGAATTATGTTTTTAAAATCTTAGTAATGTGATGATTAAAATCATAATATTTTGTTATATGCTTGTATTAAAATGTGTACTTTCAGTAAAAAGTAAAGCATTCTCGCAACAAACCATTTTGGATAAGGGGATCATAAAGATTAAGACTACACAATTTTGTGACCTTTGGCATGATTGTGGTAATGTGGTTGACATTGTGCACAGACTGCCTTTACCTTTTTAATTATGTACTGATTTTTGTTTTACATATTTTTTATTTAATTTGACACTTCCTTTTTAAAGACTTTCACTGATTAGAGAGGGTGCCACAAAAAATGAAAATAATAATTTTTTGGGGAAAAAAGTTTTGCTCAATTCTTCAAAGAATCAGTGTAGATGGCACATCTGATGTAATCATAATATTTGAGATAATTAAATATTTACTTAAGTAATTAATGCCTCCTAAACTATATTTAAGACATATGTTACATAAATTTAATTCCTTTTTCAAAGTATTTGTTAATCCTAATTGAAAATTTATTATAATTTAGAAATTCAAACAAATATTAAACTGTAAAAATTAAAATATATGTGTGTCTTTAAGACAGCATTTCTTCAGGGGACACACTGTCATACCAAAACTGACAACAGAAAGGCTAAAGTAAATAAAGTAAATTTGGTTTTAGCTGCTTTAGGCACTTTTCCATTTTGATTTAATGTTTTATTTACTTCTTTGTCTCTTTTTTGCTTTCGTAAATTGAACTCATTTTCTGATTAGATTCATAAATTTATTATTAAGTGGAAACAGTTAGATAAAAGAGGGCTGGGGGAAAAAACGCAATTGACATGGTATTAAGAAAAAAAAAGATCTTAATCAAGAAAAGTGATTGAACCAGCTAAGTTCTCTAAAGAAAAGATTGTATAAATGATGAGCTCATGTGGTGTATTTAGTCGCTTGGAGCTATGTTTATGGACTATCACCTCATGCATGTGCAATCAAATCGGGCATTTTCCTTTTTTTAATTATGTTTTGTATGATATAAATTTTTATGCTATTTTTATAATGGTTTTCACCGCTAACTTGAAAGAAACTTCTTCATAGACTTAACATTGCGTACTGATTTCAAGTTGGCGTGGGTAAAGGCCTCTGGATATATATTTTTAGAAGATTAAAAATTTGTCAAATCACTAGTGAGAAAAATAGAATTCAAAACATCTAAACCAGTTTGGTTACTTGATGAATTGGTTACTTGATGATTTGGAATCGTTTTTAAAAAATTATCTTCTAGACCTCTTTTTGTTGCAGCCTATAATCAAACAATATTTGATGTTTTTAATTCCCCTTTTCTCAATAGTGATATGTTAAATTTTCATTGCATTTCTGTTTCCTCCTTGTTCAAGTATTATTTAGTGGCCTCAATGTGCATAATTTTCTTACCTCAATTTTGACAAATAATCTTTAAGTATATATTAAGAATAGCCATTAGGGAACCTTCTGTAAAATAGCAGTAAAAGTTTCCCTTAATTTATTTAAACTAAAACTTCATTGTGTAGCTAATACTACAATTCATATGTACAGTGTTAAAACTTTTCAAAATAATGAAATTTTAATTGTTTTTTTTGCAGTGGCACAGTGAACCTCACAGTGAGTGGACGTTATCTGGACAGTGTGGCCGAACCTAAAATTAAAGTTATTGTTGTCTCCCCCCTCACTGGAAAGAAATTAGAGTTTGATCAAGTAAATGCTACATTTAAACTAACTTTTCTTTGACAAGAAAAATTGTTCTTCAGATTATGCGTTATTACAAAATAATCCACTCTGAAAGTATTATTTCCAAGTTATAAATGGATTCACAGTACTTTTTAGTGTAAATAGTACTTCTTCTTTATTATAATTACAATAGAGTGTACTAAGAATGAGTTGTATTACTATTACTAACTTCCATAGTTTTTGTGTCTGACATACAGAAAACATATATGTATAGAGTGTGCTAAGTAAAAAAAATACCACCTCAAATAACTTTTGATCTAATGATTAGATTTTTAACATATCTATATTCATTAATAATGGCTTGAGGTCCCTATTTTGAATATGCTAATTAATTTGCGCAGAAGTTAAGACACTAAACGTTTTTCTCTGATAAATACCTATTTTCTTTGTTAGACTTACTTACTTTGCTCTCAAAATATGATGGGTACCCTCAATCTGTAAAGTAGAGTCTCATGTAATTTTAATTAATAAATCCAAAATTTGAAGCGAATCCACTATTTTTAAAGATGTATAAAATTTTAGAAAGCCAACTTATTTGAGATGGCAATCTATACAAAAATTAAAATTAATTATAGGAGTCAAAACTTTTGACTCTACTGTGACCATATGTTCCAGATTATAGCTACCCTTCATATTCTTGAGAACCAAGAATCCAATTTTGCGGAAAGAAATGTATTTTTATTCAGCCGATGTTCATTTTTGATTCTGGTTTCATAACTTTTCTACCCAAATAAATTGACATGTTTAAGATGAGGTCCTCTAAGTATAGTTCATCAAACAATCATTAAATTATCAATCGAGTCCTAGTTCTTAAAAACTTGATCATTAGATCAGAAGTTATTCAAGGTGACATGATTTTTTATTTTGTGAACTGCACATAATAAACATTATACGGCAGACAAATATTATGTGAGAGGGATGTTGTTAAACATATTTAAACCTGGTATGGGTGCTGTAGATTACTAAAAATTCATTCTTTTCCTATTAATGAAAACAAAATACAAACCTTGTTGCACCAAGAAATTACTTACAGCTAAGGCTAGTTAATTAATACTACACTAATTAATTAAGTTATTTTTTATACTTTTCATCTTATTTCATACTTTGGCAGTTAGTTATTGTTCACAATGCTTAGGTAACCTTGAAATGTTAAATAATTTCACATTTAGCCAGTGTTATATACAATGTAAGCATTAAAAAGCTCATAATATGACAGGGTGATGTAAAAGTGTCATACAGTATTTCATTGTAAAAAAATTTCAGTGTTATTTGAATATATTTTTTTTAATACAATAATTCAGCAAATAGGCTTACAGATACATTATATCAATCTATTATTTGTAGGCTTGTTGGGTGATGGTTAACTCCAATGGATCCAAGATGCATTGCCTGACACCTGCCCTGCGCGGTCATTCTGAGTTACATGCCCCCACTGAGCGGGCACCCTTGGTCGCTCACATAGCTTTTATGATGGATGGTGTGGAGGCATTGAGGGATTTCCCCTTTCGTCAAAAAGAATTGTCAAAGCTGTATTATTATCCAGATCCTGAGTATGAACCATTTGATGGGATACAAACAGTCTTATATGATCAGACCCTCCTTGAAATTAAGGTGAGCATTAAATATATATAACTAGCACAAACGGATTCCAGTATTCATAAAAGAAAAATTATAAATACTGGATTTATAATTACCTCATATATTCTTGCATAAAAGTATCGTAACATTTACGAAATTTAGGTTCTCTATTTAAACAATTCCACAATGAATTTAAACAATGTTTGGCATTTTCAATTCACCTTCTTTAAACGGCATTTTCTCAACGCATTTTTCACTCACAGTTCTATAATAATTTTACGACACTAGAATCGTAAAATCTGAAGTTAATTTAATTTCTAAAAGCCAAAATAATTACACATTTCTTTATGGCTTCATATTGAGCACTTATACTGAGTAATTCTTCATTTTATACACAGATGGTGCTTCAAGCATCAACAATTGTTGAAAACAAAAATTTTTGGTTTGAAATGTCCAACTATTATAAGGGACCCTGATTGAATTTTTGGTTTGATTCTTATCAGTTCATTGAATTAACGGATTTGAATAACTCCAACATTCATGAAAAAACTAATCTCTTAATTGAAGTTTTATCTGAAATTTTATTTTTTTGTTTTAGATTTAGGTATTAAAATTTTAGACTTAATATTTTTTAAACACCATCTCTAAAGTATGGTTCGAAAAATTTACCACAATAATAAATATTAGCTATGCTATTTTATGCTGTTCAGTTTTTATAAGTTATTTTGCTTAACTTCTCAGTATTTGCTTTTGTTTCATCATACATATGGAAACTTCAAACATAGTTTATGGCATACATGTTTTCAAACATGAATAATTCACAACAAGTTGATCGAATATTAAGGGTATGATTTATAAATAAAAACATTCCCGATAAACAGTTGACAATTATAACACATTAAACATTGCAATATGAATTAATCTCAAAGCATCATTGAATGTCAAAGAGTTAAGATAACAATTTGTAATTTGAAACATTATCAAATTTATTTATATTGTATAGTAATCCAAACAATTAGTAACAAAATTCAAATTAGGTTAATAAAATTTCAAAAAGATTGTATTTTTATTTTCTATTTAAGAAGAATGTTGTCATTTAAAATTAAAAACTTTCATTCCTGACAATTCATATTAAAAAATATTCTTTAAAATAATATTTACATGAAAAATTATTTTTTACGTCCAATTACCTTTGGAAAAAACAAGTTTTAAGGCTACGTACAAAAATTTCCTTTTACTTTAAAAATTCCCGAGGTACAGCGATTTAAGCTGAACTTGAAATTAACTTAAAGGAGCCAATTTGTTTTCCTGACTTATTATTATAAACCTATTTTAAAGATAGTAACTTACAAATGTTGGTATACTTTGTCGTTCGTTAGGCACAGGTAAATTCAACTATTTATTATTTATTTTATTTTTTAAGGAGGGATGGCCATGTTTTAAAAAATTAATACAAAAGTTGAATTTGTTTGCATCTGGCTAACGAAAAAGTATCCAAAAGTTATTCAGTGATCTTTTTTTTTTTTTTAAATTTAATTGCTTCACTGTACGTATGCATTAAAAAAATTATATTTATATAGCTCAGGGTATAGAGTGTTCGCCTTATAGTGAGGTGAACCGGGTTCGAATCCCAGTTGATGCGAATTCCGCATAAGGCTTGCACTAACCACAGTGCTGATGTGAAATATCCTCAGTGGTAGACGGATCATGGGTTAGAGCCCCCTTGCTGTCAAACTAACCGTGGAAGGTTCCCATGGTCTTCCTCTCCATGTAACGCAAATGCGGGGTAGCTGCATCAAAAAGTCGTCCACTAAGGCAAAAGACTCCCAATACTCGATCTAGGAGTTCCCTTGTCTTCTGCATTAGGTTCAAAATTACAAAGTTGCAGAGTTGAATATTGGTAGTCGTAAACCCATAAAATTTGGTCGGCTGTTAAACGATGGTTATAATTTTTATTTATTTATTGTTAATAACATTATGCAATTTTCAATGTTATTATGTGTACAATTATTTCTTTACAGGGTAAATACCTGGGGCTAGCTCATAGACCATCAGATGTGATTGTAACTATAGGTGGTAAATTATGCAATATTACCACAATCTCTTCAGATAAAATCTTCTGTGAAATACCAGCGGAATTGATTCACACAACAAAGAACGAATCAAAGTTTTCTGTTGAGGTGAGCATCACAATGAATTATTTAAGGCTATTACACAAAGTAAAAACTCATACTAAATGTACCCAAAAACTCAATTTAGTCCAAGAAAATCTTAATTGGAGAAAAGTGAGGGAAACATACATTAAAATGGAAACAAAAGAAAAAATATTGAATGGTAAAAATTTCAATTGTTTCATTATCCAATGCTAATGAAATTATTGTTTTACATTTTCATTGGAGACCAAGTTTTGTGAACCTCAGGAAAGATTTATACATAAATTAGTTAAAATGAAGTATTCTATACTGCAATATCTTTTTAAATAAAAATTGCAATCTTATTTAACTAAGGGCCATTACCATTTAATTCAATCTTAAAAGATTCTCTGTAGTTTTTTCAATTGTGCAGTATCTTACTGAAATAAAAATGGCAACAGTATGAAGCTAAATTTTTGCTATCTAAAGATAAAAATGTATCCATTACTATCTTATTTAACCCTTTATAAGGGAGTGTAAAATATGCTTCCCCCCAACTTCATTAGTTTTCAAATATCCATCGGACGTTGTTTTCCCACCTATGATTTCTGTGGCCATCTGTTGATAACTTTAGGAAGATACAAAAAAAATTATATATCAATGAAAGGCTTTGTTTGCATAAATGTGGGTAACAGTAAAGGGTCAGAAGAAAAATAAACACCCGGAAGCCATTTTTTCTTGAGCATTCCTTCATTTGATCATTTCTCATCGTTATAAACATAGAATTTAGAAATTTGGTTCCTTATAAACACAAAAGTTCAAGTTTGTGGCCAATTCTTTACAGTAAATAAATTTTGAAAATCTTACCCACCTTGGTAGCATTTCATAAAAGGGCATGGTGGCTCAAGGGATAGAGTGTTTGATTCCCAATGAGGTGATTTGGGTTCAATAGTCGATAGGAATCCGCACCGGGATCACATCGACCACAGCACTGATCCAAAATATCCTCAGTGGTAGACGGATCATGGATTAGAGTCCCCTTACCGTCAGACTATCAGTGGGAGGTTTTTGTGGTTATCCTCTGCATGTAACGCAAATGTGGGTTACTTGTATAAAAGAGGCCTCCATGAAGGCAAATTTCCCCCAATGCTTGATCCAGAAAGTTTCTTGTCTTCTGGAGATTGGGTTCAAAATGACAAGGCTATGGAGTTGAACACTAGTAGCGGTAAACTCAAAATTGGGTCGGCTGTTCAATGATGGTTATAAAATAAAAGAAAAAGTATAAAAATAATAAATGAATTTCTTTTTCCAAATCTAGATCAATCTCAATTGATAGCTTCACCTATTTGGGGTCTTAGATTAACAACAAAAATGACACTACACAAGAAATACACACGAGAATCACGATGGCCAATAAGTATTTTTATGGCCTAAGAAAATATCTTAAGTCAAGCCTAATAAAAAGAAAAACAAAAGTGTTACTCTATAAATGTCTTATACGATCAGTGCTTACATACGCATGTGAGACCTGGACAATGACCCGTGGAGATGAAAATATGATAGCTAGTTTTGAGTGAAAAATACTGCGAAGCATTTTTGGTGGAATAAGTAAAAACGGTACCTGGTTTAGAAGATCAAACACGGAACTCTACAAAGCATATAAAGAACCTGATGTCATTAAATTTATCAAAATTCAAAGGATTAAATGGGCAGGCCACATTATAAGATAGCAGGACAACCAAAAAAGTTTTCTGTGCCAGGCCAACAGGTACAAGAAAAAGAGGACGACCAAACCTAAGATTTTTAGACTGCCTTGAAAAGGACCTACAAATTTTAAAGATAATTAACTGGAGAACCTTGGCTAACGGAAGAATGTCTTGGCATAGGCTTGTTGAGAAGGCCAAGGCCCATCCTGGGCTGTCGTGCCAATGAGAAGAAGAAGAAGAAGATCAATCTCAAACAAAACTTTTTTAAACAAAACATTCGCCCTAAAAAGGGTTAAATAAGGACTATTACTATTAAACTCAATAGTTTTTCAGTTGTGCAGTATCAGTATTGAATAAAAATTCTGACTTTACAAAGTTGAATTTTGGCTATCTAAAGATTAAAATAAGAAATGATGCATCTGTTTTTGCAGCAATTTATATTTAAATTAAAATGAAAGTTATAATGAATAATTTGTTTTAAAAATTGTTAATTTTTAAAAAAAATTGTTTTTAAATGACATTTATAAGACTTTTCATTACCTCCCTGTTAAAAATCATCAACGCATTGTGCTTTGAATTAATAATTTTTGTGATTTCAAAGTTGAACTGACCCAGTGGACATGTTGCTGTGCCCACCTCAAACGTACCTTTTTATGGCATGCAAAGAAACCACATTTATGAAGCTTTCTATACACAGTAGATGTTGACACCAATCTTCTGGGGGCTACACTAAGAGAGGATCTAAATTAATTCGAAGTTGCAATTCTATTCCTTCAGCAATCCTTGAAGCATTTGGGCATCCTTAGCTAAACCATCTGGATGCTGAACCTGTAGCGAGAAATTGTTTCCAAAGTCTAACAATCACTGAAGGATTCACATTTTGTCATATGGCCATTTCTATCTGACTTTGTCCTGCGTCTAGATCTCTCTCGCTGCTTTTCAGTCAAATGATGCCTTTAGGTCATTATTACAAAATGGATATCTCAAATTTCTAAAACACAGCGCAAATTGCAGGCTTGTAATCAAACATACTATTTTATTCTCATTGCAGATGATGAGCTTCCATTACAGCGCTACTAATTTACATATTGCAGTTTCACTTAGCATCTCTTATTTGACAACGTATTGAAATTTCATTGGGATTGGCTTACTTTTGGAAAAGCGCTATTTTTGTAATTTTTCCTTAATTTATGATAACCTGTTTATATTCATCAACTTGCAGTTTCAATCCAAACTCAAAAGACTAAGTTACTTTGGAATTAAGTATTTGGACAAATTTTCTTACATATATTTCTTTCTCAATAAAAGTAGAGTATATTTACATTACTCAAAGAGGAAAACTTTTCATGTTTACCCCTCGACTATTATCATTGGTCTGGTGGTTTGACAAGTGAAGGATTTTATTTTCCTAAACTATTAAACTGAGTATCATCTCCGTGAATATTTCTTTTGTCAAAATTTTGGTGAGTGCCAGACGACAATAAAATATCAGAAAACCTGCCACAGCAACTTTAAAAACAAAATAAACTATTTTCTTCCTCGATTCTTTTTAAATGATTTAGTTGATTTTACATCATATGATATTAGATGTATAATACTATGTAACTTTAAAAACAAAATAAACTCTTTTCTTCCTCGATTCTTTTAAAATTATTTAGTTGATTTTACATCATATGATATTAGATGTATAATACCATGGCAAAAAAGAAAAATCTGAATCAGGCCAGTAAAACTGTTTTTAAATTAATTATAACTATGATTATGAAAATAATTTCGAAGTTTTTTGTACTAGACAGTTTTGGTTTTTCAAAAGAAAAAAAAATGGTTTTAATTACAGGATCTTGTCTTATTTAAAAAATGATGAAAATGAAAACCATGTTGAGTAACATTATAATGATTTTAAGAAAATCAGCATCAGAACTTCTAGAAACAGGTAAAAATTCACAAAAAATTATTGATACTTAATCAATTGTGGTTATAAGTAATTAGTATACTACAATGCAAACCTTGAATATGAGGTTTTGCTGTTTGTATTACATATGGAAGAGATTATTAATATTTCTAAATACTAATATTTAGAAAAAAATTTCAATTATAACGAACATTAGATTAAACAACCAATTTTGGTTAGCTTTAGAGATTGTAAAGTTTAGGGAGAATTAGATTTACGTTATTTACATATTCTACTGTGTTCTTTCATATTTGCTCCCTAAATTGATATATAAAATGCATTTGCAGGTATCTGCAGGAAGTATTCGAACTCAACTAGGGTACATCCGATTGGAAGAACGTGGAGTGAGCACGACTACAGTTGTTGTACTGACTGTTGGAGTGATATTCGTATGCATTGTGGCATTTGCTATTTATGTGTATTGGAAGAAATCATACCGTGAGAAAAAGTATCCTGGATACATTGTTGCATACACTGCAGATAGAATAAACACCTCTAATGGCAACACATGTGGTGCCCCCAGACAAGAATGCAGTAGTACTAATGGTGCGTCTTTCCTGTTTTTTACCTCTTTCATTTTAGGGCCGATAATGATGTTGTGAATGAATTAACGTTGCTGGCAATAGAAAAATCAACTAAAGCAACAAAAAGTTTAAAATTGAGGTTTTTCTATGTTCGGCATTTTTATATATTTACTATTTATACTTTTATTAATTCTAGTTTAGCGTTCATAGTATTATCAAGGAAAATAAAATGGTTGTCAAGTCGCTTTTCCTGGAATCGCTATTTTATTAGTTGCACAATAGAACAGGGCTGCTTTTATTTCTAGAGCCTAAAAAATCAAACGTTTGCATGAAATTTTGATCATTTTGTATGTCAGGAAGAGTTTCCAAATAATGTAATTATTATTAGAATGTTCTTAAGCATGGGTTTGGGTCTGCGAATTGCATATATTTGCTGACAATTAGTTTAAAATTGCCAACACTATGCTGAAGTAATATTTGGATGGCCTCCTAATGCCATTTTTTTGAAACAGTTTACCTGTCTTTATCATAGGTTTATCACCCTCTCTTTAAGCTTAAGGGCTTTACTGTGGTTTTTGTATTTGTTATTCCCAATGAACTAAATTTTTTGAAATAAATGTTTTACGTTACTGATTCATATGTAATTATTAAAAAAAAATTAGAACAATTTATTTTTGTCTACAGATTATCATGACATGAGAGGCCAAACTGCCATCAAAGAAATCAACAGAGAGCTTACTGTTGATGAAGAAACCCGGCGTCTCTTGGAGTCTGAGAACATTCTTCTGCTCAGAGAACATCTAAAGCTGGCTGAAATTATTGGCGTTGGTAAGTTCATCTTAATTTAGGGTAAACAAAACATTCGAATGGGTGAACCATGAAATTGTCGACCAAGAATTTTCTGAGACATATTATGGGATAAATTACAATTAGAATAAAAAAAAAATAGATTAAAAAAAATAATTGCAAATAATAATACAATTTTATATAATAAATTTTTATTATTTGTAATCGTTTTTTGGGTGAGTAAATTTTGGTTGTGCATACAAAGAAGAATTACTGCTGAAAGATAATTGGGAAGGAGTGAAATTGTTGACCAAGAATTTTTTAAGACATATTATGAGATAAATTAAAAATAGAAAAAAAAATAGATTGCAAGTAACACAGTTTTATATAATAAATTAGTGTTATTTATAATCTATTTTTGATAAGTATATCACTCATGTAAAGCTTACTTTCTCTTTAGGCCATTTTGGTTGTGTATACAAAGGAGAATTGCAGCTGAAAGACAAAGGAGAATCAAAGAAAGTAGCTGTTAAAACATTACATAACAGTAAGGAATTATTTGTTTTTATAATTTTTATCTTTGTTACATCACAAAAAATTATTTTATTTTATGCAGATCCACAGTACAAAATAATGCCAAGTTTATTTTGAGTACATTGGAATTTTGAAAGTAATGATACTTGAAAAGGTCACTATGTAATGAAAAAGGGAAAATATTTCCAAAATAATGTTGGTAGAAATAATATTATGATTCTTAAGTTCACGCTAATTACTTTTTTCTTTCAAGCTTTTATTTGTTTTTTTAATTGATAATTATTTGATTAATAATAATAAAAAAATTTACTCAAGAAATGGAAACTTCGTTGAAAACATTTTTAAAACTTTTAAGTTTTCTGGTCATTTCCTTTAAGTTTCATTCTGCAATTTAACTGATTTTGATGTTTTTAACCCAGATTATCTTGTAATTGATTTACCAGATGTGTTTCATTTAATATTAATTTACAATAAGAAAACTCTTAAATATACATAGGGGAAAGAGTGGACATGGGGTAAAAGTGAGAGTCGTAAGCGAGTGAGTTATTGTAAATTGGAACATTGATGTACACTACCATCTGCAGTTGCTTAATCATAATGTAAATACTTTAGTAGAAATTTGTAAAATAAAATTTTTAAGGTGCAAAAGTAACTTTTAAATTTTTTTCTTTATTGCTTTTAACGTATTTAATTTCAGAATTTCAACTGAAGGTAATAATATGTTACCAATATAATATTGTTTTTCACTTATTTTAGTCTTAACTTTTGCTCTGTATAGTTTCAATTAATCAGCATAAGGGCTAGAGTGAACATGCTTTAATTTTTTTCAAAAGTTTGCAATTAATTTTAAAAAAAAATCCTAATGGTATTGGATCAATAAAAATAACTTCTTGAGGAGAACACTAATTTTGAAGGAGCTTGTGGTATTCAATTTTTTAAAATAAAAATCTGTGTTGTGCAGAGTTATTTATAAACAAGTTGCTCATAAATCGGGGATTATGGTATTCAATTCTTAGGGGAAAAAATATTGTTCTTCGAATCATTAATTTTTTATTTTCCCCCCTTAAAAAATCAAATCTCCATTGAATAAATGGCTACCAAGCTTCCATCCAGTGACTAGTAGAACAAGTTTAAAGTTGACATTAATTTTTTTTTTGGTTAAAATAAAAAAAAAAAGAACTCAAAACATTTATTAAATAAATCTAATTAAATAATGAATTTCAAATATATTGATTTGCATTCAATAAGTCTTTTTTAGTATAGGAAAATGCTCTATTACAAACTAGTATTTTAACTAATATATGTCAATATTTATTCTCCAATAAGACTTACCAAAATGAGATTAATTTCAATCTTTTAGATATAACTTTATGAGTTTTAATAAATGACTATATAGCAATTTATCAAGCTTGTCCATGCTAACACCGGGTAGTGTGGACAAGGTGACCTTTGTTTAAAAAAAATTATTCTGGAAAAACTAAACTTTTTAAGTGCCTAGATACAAACCAGGATGATGTAAAAAGAAAATTATTGTTAAAAAAGTAAGAGTTAAAAATTATATTTGATAAGGTTTTTTCACTAATTTGTAAAAAATGTCTTACCCTCTCTCCCATACATATATATTGCAATTCTTTAATATGCAATAAGAAAATGTATATATTTAACTAGGATTTTAAAAATATGTATCAAAGGAATAATGACTATGGTCATTATTCACAAAATGATCTTAACGTTGCCTGTGGTTGCTATTTTTCCTAATGGAACTACTATCATTCGCAAGAAGCAGTAGAAACTATTTAAAAAATATATTTGTCCATTTAAGTATTTCTTTTAAACTTGTCAATTGCAGAAAAGTTTGATACGAAAAGCTATTTTATTTTATTGTTTAATTTATAAGTTAAAATACATTTGCATAAAATGTCAGGTATATAAAATATTAAATACTTATTCTCTTTTATTTATTTTTTATTAAATCAAACAATTATATTGCGTTTATCCAAATAACTTATTTTTCTTTCGTTTAAAGGTTCCACCACCATAGAACAGGATATTGAAGCTTTTTTACAAGAAGGTTTGATGATGAAAGATTTCCATCACCACAATGTCCTCACTCTTGTGGGGGTGTGTTTTGATGAAGGGGGAGAACCTATGGTTGTTATTCCCTACATGAAGCATGGGGATCTCTTATCTTACATTCGCAACGAAGAACATGTAAGAACCATTGGAGCTTTTTCCTACATAATCCATAGCAGGGATTCCCCCTTACAATTAATATTTTGGATCATAAAAATTAAATTCTGACAATATTAAATTTTGCAAGGATGAAAGCAAAATACGAAAGAACATTACTTAAGTTTATAAATTATGTTTGAAAATAGAAGCTGAATGAAAAATGAAAGAATGTGAAAAATATATGCATGATTTAGAAGGTATATAAGTATCAATTTTTTAGAGATAGACTGCTTTTGATTTGAAGAAAACATTACAACTTGAGATACACCACTCAAAAATTTATTATACGTAATGATTGTAGATGTAACACAACTGTAGTAAATGCCCACATTTAAATAAATTAAATGATTAAATAGTTAAAAAAGCCATTCAAATAATTACTAAGTATACAAAAAATAAATTTAAATTATCTTAATTTAAAAATACAAAATCGATTGCAATAACTTTTGTTTTGTAAAAATTGCACATCTGGTATGAAATATCCGACAATCAATAAAGAAAACAGAATTATTAAAGTAAATTAATTAATAAAACTATTGAATACTTATCTTGTTTTGTAGACAAGAATTAAAAAAAAAAGAAAGACTTAAAAATATTAAATGTTGAAAATACTTAGCCTTTTAAGCTTTAATGACTTCCAACTTCTATATACATATTTTCATTTCTTTCTCTTTTTAAAAATATCTAACACCTTGTATGTGTTAATATTTGATTTTTATTTAATCATAGCTATAATAAATTTCAATATTTTATGCAAGATAAGTGCCTAACTACAACCATCTCTCTCTCTTTTCTTAAATATAAATAAATATATTTGTCGAATAATTTGTCTTTACAAACATTTTCTATTTATTATCTTCTCATATTTAGACACCTACTGTGAAAGATCTTCTAACATTTGGAGTTCAGGTTGCTTCTGGAATGGCTTATTTGGCTGAAATGAAGTTTGTTCATAGAGACTTGGCTGCGAGAAATTGCATGTAAGATTAGTTTTAAAATATTTTTTAAAAAAAGTAAGGGTTATAATTATACTAATCGAATATTGAAATAATATTAAAATTACAGTATAAAATATTATTGCATAGCTGATAATAAAATCCGTATAAAAATTCTATAAATAGACCAATTGGTAGGTAGGCACTTTATTTACTTTGCACTAGAGCTGCACAATGGGCTATTGGCGACAGTCTGGGAAACAGGATCCATGCCATCTCTATTTTGATCTTTTGCAAAGGGGTGACTCCCCTGCTTTAGTAGCCTAATGATCTGCTTAGAAAATTTGAGCACTTTACGGTAGAACAGTTTAACGAGGAACCAAAGTGCTCACCCACCCACTTACTGACCGCAGCCAGTGATGCTTTTCAGTGTTCTACTGGGAACCATGTCTATACGATCAGTCCACAACGGGACCAATTCTAATACAGAGTTAAATATCTTTAAAATTTGGAAGGTTTTTTTTTTAAGTGCTATAAAAATTATAAGAAGAAAAAAAATATAAAAATTATAAAAAGAAGAAATTATAAGACTCTTAGGTGTCAATTTTGTTCCCTTATAAATGTTTTTGAAAATTAATTTTTCGGAAAATTAACATATTTTATCTCATTAATGAATACAAGAAACTAAAACAAAACATCATACACGAGTTTTAAGTTAAAATTTTAAATTTTTTATGTGCAAAAAACATTGAATTTACCATAAGTTTACTATCCCAAGTTATCTCTGCAAATGAAAAAAGTTAAATATTAGTCTTTGTATTATAGTTTTTAAAACAAGGAACAACACAAAGTGATATTTTCCAAATGCCAGGGAAGTGATACGCCATTTTTGTTTACTCTTTTTTTGCTATGTAAATTCAGTAACGATTGTATATACAATCGCACGTTTGCAGACCCACAAACCAACAGCAAAACTCCCAAATAAAAATTGTTGTTTTTTGTTTCCAGCTGAGTAAAAACTTGATAAAACAAAACGAATTCTGCTACGCCTGATTTTTTTTTCGGGAAAATAAAATTTGCAATGGGAGTTATCTCGGGATAATCAGGGAGGCGGTTAATGTGACAGGTGAGCTCTTTGTATGTAGAAATGATCAAGAGTGAACATGCTATTTCAGGTTAGATGAGGATATGACTGTAAAAGTGGCTGACTTTGGATTGTCTAGGGACATTTATGAACGAGACTACTACAGCAGCGATAATAAGAAAACTAAGCTGCCTGTAAAATGGATGGCACCAGAGAGTTTAGAGAAAGGAACTTACACCACAAAGACTGATGTTGTAAGTACTCTTCAGCTTGTTTCTCCTAATGGGCTGGTCATGAATTTTCAGTTCTAAAGGCTTCTTGCCACTAGTTTCAAGAAAAAATAGGAACAATGTTAGTAGTTAACATATTTATGTCAAAGTAATACTAGTAGTTATTAGTTGTCACAAATAATCAATAGTATTAACATTATCCACATATCATTGAAAGTTTTTAAAATAATAAAATTATACTATCAGAGTTGTTCCCAAATTTATAACGCATGATTCACTAAGTCTATGGTTTAGCTTATAAAAACTAATTGTTTTAGATATTAGACTTTATTCGTCAACATACCCAGCTTCACATTCATTCAAATGCGCCTCTCATTTTTTGATGCCTTTTTTATCGAATGATTTATCTTTGCTCTCAAAATAGGTCTCAGTTTAAACAATAACTTTTTCATTTGAGCCAAATGTCTAGCGCATTTTTTGAGGTCTGCAAAGAGCCTGTAGCCGCTAGGGGCCATATTGGGAGAGTATGGTGGGTGTGGAAGTTTTTTGAAGCGTAATTCATTCAATTGAACCATCATTTTCATCGGCATTGCCTTGGGGAAACTGAAAATTTTTTTCTTTACAGGTGAGGTCGTCTTTATTAATTTCGTCGCTTAGTCGATCCAATAAAGCCATTTAATATTCGCTATTGACAGTTTTTTTTTTTTTTTAAGATAGCAGCGGAATAAAATACCATGTGCTTTCTAGAATACGGAAGCTGCACCTTGTCTGATAACTGGTCTTGTTTTGGTCACTTTGGACGATTTTCCCTGGTTGCCATCCACTCAGCTGAAGATTTTAGTGAATCCAAGTTTTATCCATTGTCACACACTGACGAAAGAAATCCTTTTTATCTCGCTTTAACATATCCAAATCGGGTTCTGAATCGTTGACAGTTGTTCTTCTGGTGAGAGTAAATGCAGCACCCATTTTGAAAGCAACTTGTGCCTGCTCAAATTTAAATATAGAATTGTAAACACACTACCTTTTAAAATCTTCAAGGTGTCAGGTACCTCACGCAAATCTACTTAAGTCTTTCAAAATTATTTTATGAACGTTTTCTAAAACAAGGCGGGCCAAGGGTTGTCGTGTCAGCCGACCAAACGTGTATCCGAATGCAGCAAGATGCATCTGTTGTGTCTGAAAGTCCTCACTTTGGTAGAATTTGGGGAGAAAAGTATCACCTCAGGAGTTGTCTTTGTCTTGTGCATTAATGCCCTTGCTGTTAAAAGATAGAGCCATAAAAAATCCATGATCAGGTAGTGTGCATACTTTAAATTAGTTTGTAACATAACTTTGGATGTTCAGTATGCTTAAAATCGTGTCAAGTTATCAAATGAATAGCATTTTGATTGAAATTAGAATTTATGAATCAATATTTAATCCTACTCTTTGCATTACATTAACAGTGATAATGTTTAAATCTCCTTATTCAGTGGTCTTTTGGAGTGTTACTGTGGGAGTTGATGACAAGGGGAGTTAGCCCTTATCCTGATGTGGATAACTGGGATATCATACATTATCTTAAATCTGGAAGGAGGATGCCACAGCCTTCATACTGCCCAGATCTCTTGTAAGTATTTTCAACATTTAAATAATACCACGAGTTGTTTAACATAATGCCATTAGCAAATAAAATGCAAAGTTTTCTTTAAAGTTGATATCTGAAGTTAAAATAAGGTTATTGCAAGAAATGTACTAAACAAGTAATAGAACACCTTAATAACTTTTGATCTCTTAATTTTCCATGCACCTAGAAACAATGTTTCTTGAATCACATAAGATACATACCTTAAATTTGTGTGATGATCACATTTTTTTTAAACACTTTAGTAGTTACATTAAAAGAAATGAGAAGTGCCCCCATTCCCATACATGTTGTCTTCCTTAGAATCATTTGCTAAAAATCAGCAAAAAGATTACTGCAGTTGTTTTATTTTTCAATTTTAGTTTGAAATTATATGCATTCAGATTGACTCTACTGGTGCTTCCTTCACAACCTAAATTCATAAATTAAAAAATAAGATTCAAACTAATCTAAAACAAGGAAAAGTATAATTAGAATTTTTTTTAATGCTGGGGACTTGCATCTACTTCCCATTGGCCTCAGAAATGCCAAAATTGCTACTCTCTTATCGTTACCCAGTGGGCACTTGTTGTTAAGCCACGGCAGTGAAGTAGCGCCGCCCACGTCATATAGTAACAGAAACATTTATAGGGAGGGTTACATTCACACAGAAGAAAGGACATATAACACAAAGAGAATGTTACACCCATGCCTACGGTGGGATTCGAACTCGCAACCACTGGTCCCGTAGTCCAATACAGTGACCACTAGACCAGTGATAGGCATAATCATTAAAATAAAAGCTATTGTCAAGTAAACCAAGAGAGAAAAATTTTATTTTTATTTTGTACTAATGAAGTTTATAATTTGTGTAGTTTATAGCAGAAAACTCACATTAATTTTAAAAGAAAGTAAGCAAAAAGAATTGCATTAGTTAAAAATAAAATCAATTGTGACTTTTCCTTTTTAAAAAAAACGAAAGGACAAATTTATGTTTGAATTATAAAGCAATGGAAATAATAACTTATTCTAAAACTAAACCTTGAACAATCTTTTATGAACAGAAATTAAAGAAAACATTTTCACCAAAAGATTAAACTACTTACATTGAAGTGATATTTGGATCGGTTATTCCAGAAATAACAATATTTCTCTGATTATCTCTGCACGTCACAGTATATTTTATCCTGAGCTATGTGCATCGCATCAGAGCACAATACTGTGACATCTTTATTTATAATTAAAAGCAATTGGTTTGACATAGAATAGGATAGTAAGCAGCAATAGTGCCAAAGGCAACGTGTTTCAGCTCAAAACAATTTCTAAACAAAAACTAGAACTTCAAATTAAGTAACCAAATGTATTGTGGTTCTTTAAAAGTGAATCTGCATATGTTAGGGTTGCAGTAATATAAAGTTTGACTAAGGTAAGAACTCCTACCGCCACCAAGTTTGGCGCAGCATGTCCTTATTTGAACTTTGTGCCATTAAACCCTACATTCAATCAATCAATCAACCTACCGCCACCAAGTCTGAGGCTGTCTCCTGCTATGGAAACAAGAATAACACATTTCAGGGTGCTTAGCTTCTCTTCTCTCAAGGGCTAACTCAGTAGACCAAAGAAAAAGATTCCCTTTCTCTCGCCGACTTGAGTCAAAACCTGTCCTAAACAGTGACATAGTTGCATGTCGTTACCATAGTCAACGCCACGGGTCCAGACAAATGGCTAGGGGAGTTCTTACTTCAGACAAACTATACCTGCTTATTGTTTTGTAAGAAAAGGTGAGTCTAAGAAAAGTAATTTAATTTCAGGTATGAAATCATGTTGGGATGTTGGAATGAGGATCCCAAGGTGAGACCCTCATTCGTGCAATTGGAGGAAAGAGTAGGGGATGTCATTACAACGCTTCAAAAGAAGATCAAACAAAAGACTGTTGGACTCAATGTCACTTACGTCAATTATCCACGACCCAATACGAACAATGACCAGGTAGAAGAAACGTAGACTCAAATTGTTTTAGTTAGTTTGTTTCAATTTTGTGATAAGATATTTAAAGAAGATGAAAAGTGATAGTATAGGATAATTGTTGAATGCTTCTTTTAGAATGAGCTGTTAATTTTTGGAATGAATTGACAAGTCTAATGGAAGATAGTGAGAAAAGTAGCCAATGGAATGTGGGTAAAGACCATTCACTATTTACCAAGCATTTTTTTCTCACTGAATATCGCCTTATTTAGAGGTAGAACAGAAGAAATTAATGTGGTATGCAGACCACAACATGTCCTTGCGTGCTTCCGAAACGCCTTATTTCTTATACGTTCTTCAGCTAAGATCTTCAATCGTGATTTGAGTGAAAGTGTGATAAATCAGTATTTTCATGGGGAAATTTGGCGACACCTGAATGGTATTAAAAAATATACGTACAACGATTCATTGAAATTACTGTCAGTTATAGTGTGTTCAGTTAAATGTTCAACTTTCTGTGCCTTTGTATTCTCTTATAAAGAGACATTTTTACTGTTAAAAATCTTTTGTACTTTTTGTATTATAAAAACTAAAGAGAAATTTTTTTAAAAATTTTTTCCAATAAACTGTACAATTTTATTCACATTCATATTAAACAACAAAAATGCTTCATCATCAAACAAACACATAAGGATACCATTATTTTATTTTACAACTGGTGTAAATTTTGAGTTTAAGGCAATGTTCCCAACACCAAGAGGGATTCCAACCCATGATCCATCTACCTCTGAGGGTATTTTACGTCAGCAATGTGGTCGGTGCGAGCTGGGAGCAGAATTCAAATTGACCATCTATAATTGGGATTTAAAGTAAAGCTGTGTGATTTCATAGGGAAGTGAGTGTAAATGATACTATTTTTTTTTTTATAACAGTCACTGAACGGCCCATCCAATTTTGAGTTCACGACTAACAATGTTCAACTTGGTAGCCTTGTAATATTGAACCCGATTCAAAAGACAAAGAAACTCCTAGATCAAGTATTGGGTGAAATATGCTTTTGTGGAGAACTTTTTGATGAATTTCACACGCATTCGGGTTACACGGAAAGGAGAATCACGAAACCTCTCATGCTTCGCCTGACGGCAATGAGACTCTAACCCGTGGTCCGTCTACCACTAAAGATATTTTTCATCAGCGAGACGGGTGGCATGTAAACTACTTTTACATCTACAGTATCCCCAAAAGATTTTGAGCTCTCTGATTGGATTTCTCGGCATTGCCTTCTGTTACATCTTTTTGTAGCTTCTCCCCAATATCATTTCTCCGTAGTTTGTTCACAAAATGTAAATCAATCATAAATCAGTTCCAGTATATTTCTTATGCTAATTTTAAGACAAATGTTAAAAGTTTTGTACAAAATATAAAATAGGGTTATCAATGATCTTTCAAGGTGCGCAGCAAAATATTTCAACAAAAAATAAGCACATTTTAAGTACTTTCCAAGCACTCAGAAAATATTTTTAAGCACTATATACATTAACAAAATGCAACATAATTTTCAAAGACTTAACAGCATCAAGATAAAATAACTAGTTTCTGACAAAACACTATTTTCTTGATTATATTGGCCACTATAAAAAGATTGAGAGATTTTTCGGTTTGATTTCAGTGGGTGGAAAATGAAAACTGAAATTGAGAATATTTTGCAAAATGCAGCAGAATTGCACATAAGAGTGCTAAAATCTCACCGACTTCTGCTCAGAAGACGCACATGCGGACCCACAAGTATTTCATCAAACATGTAAAATGATTAGCGTTTTTATACGCTATGGACCGACGGTAGGCCAAAATGGATTGTGGTTGAATGAATTGTGAAAAGCATGATTTTGTATCATAGTTTGCAAAAATCAACAGGGTGAAGAAAAAAATCACAATGCAAAAAGGGAAAACTAAGCATTTTTTAAAAGCGTTATGCACCATGTCTTTTATAATAACCCATTTATTCAAATCTAATTAGCTTTAAGTTATATTCTTCATTTGCTTTAAAAAAAATTTCATACGTTTCAGTGTAATATTTTTTAATGTTACGAATTTCAGGTAAATGCAAGGTAAACAACCATGTTTTGGTAAAACATCAAATTAGTACAATAATAATTATTAAACATAAATTAAAGCATTATTAGCTAGCTTTTATATAATAAATATAGTAAGGATTAATATTTAAAATGAATAAATAGTATTATCTCCTTATGCACTTTTGAAATCTCTTACTTTTAATTTATTAAGTATGAACCCATTCAGTTTGAATTCATTATATATGAGATTTTAAAATGTATGTAAATATTATTGTAATTGTATGTAAATATATATTGTGATTACTTGAAAAAGATTTTATCATATCTTAGGGGAAAATATTATTTTATTAAAGAATCTGATTTCCTTGTTGTTCAACTTCACTCTTATTGATATTATTACTTTAAGAAATTTCTTTCACATTTTTCCTGCGGCACTTTCATGAACGCACTGTGGTTGACATACAAATAAATATTTACAATCCAATAGAAATGTACTAAAATTAAAAGATATAATTTTTTGTAAATTTATTCTTTCATTACTCATGGCATTAATTCAATGGACAATATAAATTGTCCAATCACACTTTGATGGGAATTATGCATCAAAAATTAATAAAATCTTAAAGACAATTACTTGATTTCTTATTAGATGTCAAATAATAGTTTTTCGGTATTATAAAACATTTAACAAACAAAAGAAAACATTGAAAATAAGTTATAATAGATATTTTAGTTTAATTTTATAAAAATAGATGATGCTACTAATAAAAATGTTAAATTTTAAACTTATTAATTTAATTTTAGTAATCCCCAAGAAATAAATAAAATATTAATTTAATTCGATAAACATTAATTTAACTCAATAAATATTAAGTTAAAACTATTGAGTTTTCATTTCATAGTGGATATAAGAATTGAGCAAGGCAATTAAACTTCCATTTCAATATTATTCAATAAATTACAAGCAGGGTGCATGCAGACTCCTTGGAAATTAAAAAGTGTCCAAGGAGTACTTGGAACTATACTTAGATTTCCAAATAAATCGATAGGAACTCCTTAGATTGTGTTGCATATATTAACTTACTAAGTCCGCTGATGAATTTTCTGTCCAAGCAGGGAAACTAAATATGACTTAGCTGTCAAAATCTACTAGTTTAAGAAAAACTTTAAAAGAAAAAAAAATTGAATTGCAAAAGTTAGAAGAAAAAAGTTACAGCAAATAATTGAAATTTTACAATCAAACTTAATTAATAATTTACTGTGATTTATTTTTTTTGTATACAATGCCTTAGATTGTCTTATGTATTCAAATTTAAAAATATAAGATTGGTAGGTTTTTACGTTAATCTTTAACATTTGTACTATGTACTTTAACAAGATTTATTAAAATATTTGAAGCTGGAAAATGTATTTATGTGTGAAAGCGATAGCTTTATTTTTCTTGATGAAGTTTTACGAAGTCCAAAATTTATTTCAAAAGGGCTAGAAAAAAATATCTTATGCAAAATATACATTTTTGCAAGTTCTTTATAATAACTGCTTTTCAATTTTAAAATTTTTTTTTTAATTTTTGATAAGTCCTGAAAATTTTGGACTCCTTGGATTTCTTCTTCTGATCTCTGTATAGAACCCTGATTACAAGTGATATTAGCTCCATAAGAATTCATGCACGTGATAATCATAAATTTAACGAAAAAAGCATTTTAAAAATTAAATAAATTTTTTTTGTTAAAGTAACTAAACTAGTTACTTACCAACAAACAAATCTTTTCCCTAAGGTTTTGAAGTTCTAGATTTCTATTTCGTCATTGTAAGTTCCCCAAATTCCTTTACCACCACTTTTCTAAATTTAGAACATTGCTTCTAAGGGTAATAATATTTGATGAAATACTAGTTTCTATTTCATTTTTAAATGAAGGGACTTTCTCAGGCGAATAAACTGACATTTTAAATTTGGAAAACGAAAGCTGGAGTGCAGAATCACTTCAATGCTCAAAATAATAAGCATGGCAGAATGAAATAGCCATACATCACAGAAGGCGTTGCCAAGAAATCCAGTCAGTGCACTCAAAATCTCTTGGGGATACCATAGATGTAAAGAGTTTACATGCAGCCGGGTGCTGAATTCTTATCGACAAGGCATCTCTTGGGATTCGATCCACTCAAACATGTTTATCTTTAACACAAAATTCTAATTAGCAATCAGACATATTAAGAAAATATTTCAACAGCAGAAATGCAGAGTTTCTTTTTCATACCAAAAGACTGAGACAAGACAATAAGTCTGAATATGATTATTAGCAGACACACCTGAAATTTCAATTATTCTGCACTATAAACTATAACTACACATTCCAACTTTTTGAACAACTATAAATTCCAACTTTTTTTTTTTGAAAAAAATTATGGCTGATAATATTTAAAAGTAATCTAATTTCGATATTATGATAACAATTACCTACTTCAGATTTATTTTGTAGTAAATAAATTATATATTTTGTTAATTAACCTAAATTTTAAGCTGCAGTGAATAATAGCTTTTCTGATATCCAATAATTCTTTTACAAGTATCATAATTCAATAAATTGCACACAATTATATTTAATATGTCTTTAATAATGTGCTTATTGTAAAAAGTAATATGATATAAACGTTACATATTTATTTGAAATTTAAAAATATCTTTTGTAAATGAATTTTATTTTTATTACACACTGAGTATCTTTTTCTCAACACATTGAATGGGATGATTGTAGTTGTCGTTTGCTTGCTGTTTCGAAGCAACAAAACTGATTTTTGAGCCAAATTGCGCCTAAGTTGCATTTTGGCTCACAGAATGAGTTATAGAGAAGAAATTTCATATCCAAACAGTTTGAAGCAGCTGTTCCAACCCTGGGTGTACCAAAATGACACCAAAAAACGTCTTACGTTTTTTTACAAAAGACCTTACTATTTGTGATTTTTGAACATTTTTCAAGAAATATTTTATTTACAAAAGATTATTCTGGTAACTTAACCCATTTACAATAATCAAAGAATTGAAAGAGAAAATATTGATGCTAGAGGGAAAAAAAAATTCCCTTCACCCAGAGTATAAAAATATTCTAAAAATTGTAAGTATTAAAAGTAAGCATAGAGGTACAGTGAGATGATCCACAATTGCTACTGTTTGCATGCTTAAGTCTATAATTTGTCATATATCGAGGGGAAAATCATAGTGGCAAAGAAAATTTAAAGTAAAGCTGCCCTAAAGCCAAATGTGAAACATAAAAATTCTGTAAGCAACAATAGGTGAGAAATGTAAAAATCACATTACTTGATCACAACTTTTTATGGGAGATTAATTTTAAAATTTGCAGACAGTAAAAGATCTGATGAATCTTTTAATTCATATTTGATAAAGATTATAAATTTGTAATTTTTAAAATTATTTATTAAAATTATCGAATAAATAAAATGAACATAAGTGAACACATTTCAATTCACTGTGGGCCAGAAGACCATGATCTTTGGCCAAAAGTCAAAAATTAAATTTTCAACTAAAATATGTGTAGGCAGTTGTAATATAGCCCAAATTAAGTATTCATAATCATTCCTAACATTATAATTCACTTTTTGGACCGAAAAGAGTACAATATAATGAAAAAAAAATTTTTTAATGTAACTTTTAAATTTTTATTTCAGAAATATATATAGGAATTTCACCTTACTGCTACATTTTTATCTGAGTCTGAAATTATAGAACAATTTTTCAATTTGTGGAATTAGTTAATACTCTTGACAAACCTATAGTTCATATCTTATCATTTGACATTTTACAATGTTTGAATGACTTTCGAAACGTTCCATGAGGTAATTAGCTAAACTTTTTTTTGTTGTCTTCTTTGATGTTTTTTTCATGTTTTCGTGTTATTTTATAATATTACTTCGGAAATATAATTTGCTTTTCATTTTTAATATAAAATTACGAAAATTATTATATACAGGCATACTTTTTACCATTTCCGATGTGGTTTCGGCTATAATTTAGAAGTTACCTAAAATTGGAGTTGGACTAGTGTACATAGCCAAATCTCTCAACAACAAATAAGCACTTTTAAAGTACTTTTTAAGCACTATATACATTAAAAAACGCAAAATAAATTTCAAAGACTACATGATCATGATAAAATAATGTAAAACATGCAAAATGATTGGCGCTTTCATATGCTATGGACCGATGGTACGCCAATATAGCTTGTGATTGAATGAAAAGAAAAAACGTTGAATAGAACAATGTGAAAAGCACGCTTTTGCCTAATACATGGCAAAAATCGACATGATAAAGAATAAAAACCTTATTTTCGAAAAGGGAAAATTAAGCACTTTTTGAAAACATCCAATGAAAAAAAGCACCTTTAAGGGCTTTTAAAAAACGAAAATAAGCACTTTTTAAAAAATGCTACGCACCATGTGGACACATTTTCTTCCATTTCCGCCAAATTTGACTTCGCCTGCTTTCTTTTTTCCTTTTTAACCACAGCCACTTTTATGCATTTTAGCAAAGTTGATTGCATGGTACAAATATTTTCACTTGTTGGATATAAAGGAGTTAACAGTTCTTAATCCACTTCAGAAACAGTTTTAGAGTTACATCATCTTCTATTGTTCTAAAAAAAATGATGAAAATTGAATATTTCTAAAAATACTGAAAATTCAAAAGATAAACTCCTGGATATTTCTAAAAAGGATTAAAATCGGAAAGGTAAATGTTCGATTACTTCTAAAAATGTCAAATATCAAAATCGACAAGATTAATGCCTGAAAATTTCGTTATAGGACCGCAACCATTTTATTCATATAGAGAATACTTTGTAATTAAAAGTAATGTTCGTTATAGGAAAAATTTTGATTCAGAAAGACACAACTGTTTTATATTTGTCAGACAGACATGTTTTCACAGCAGCTGTAAACAAAACAAAAAAAGGCATCACTGGAATAAAAAGCACAATCACACAGTCTTAAATATTTATTACTTCAGAAGTCAACTATACAATTACATTCCTCGAAAGAAATGTAAACTAAAATCAACTTTAAAATGTACACAATTTAAATAAATTTTTTATACAAAACAGCAATAAGTTGTTTTACGACATCACAGTTCAAGCAAAACAGTTCATTTAAAAGAAAAAGCAAACTAATTCAAATTATCACAACTTGATTATAATTAGTGTAAGGTAACATATGGAGATCATAAGATTTTAGAGTTACCTAATTCTGTAATAACCAATATTATGCTAAAAAAAGATTGAAGCAGAATTAAAAAGAATTTGGTTCATCCTAACTATTTACAGCAGCATAGTATAAACTATTACGATCTATAATAAAATTATTTTAATATATGAAATTTTTAAGACCTCGTTATATTTCTTTTAAGAGTAGTGGTTTCACAATAGTGTAGCAGATTATTGTGAAGATGTTATATTTAGCTCAAGTTCCTCCCGTAAGTGCTTCTTTTTAAACCACAGAAGCCTAAATAGTTGACCTTGAATTTTAATCAGGTTTATTTAAAAAATTATGAAAATATAAACCAAAGATAGACTTATTATTTTGAAGAATTATATTTTTCATAATTTAATTACTAATTGTTTTCAAATAAGGTCTTATGACTGACTTTTTCTGAAACTATTTTTAGTGCATGCATAAGTTCAAAATGAATAAAATAAGCGGAAGTTTTTGTTGCAATGATAAAAACAGTGAGAATGGTAATTAGAGAAACATGTTTATTTTTGAATTTTTGTTATTTTATTTTAAAATTAATAATTCGAAGGGAAATCATTTCAGTTAGAAATAATTACAAGTTTCATTTCAGTTTAGAAAAATAGTTCTAAAGATTGGAACTCTTGCAAGATTGCCACTCAAATCTGGAAAGAAAAAAAATTCCTGTGTTTTCCCTGTACATATTATACACAATATGTTAAGAGGAAACACAACAATTACTGTGGTCTTGTGTGAGCTATATTGGGCTAACTATACTAGTTTTAATTGCTGGAAAAACTTTAAAAAAAAAAAAAAAAGAACAGTTGAACATACTTAAATATCCTGCCTTGAGTAATTTTTTAAAAGACGAAAATAATAAACAAAATTCCCTGTTATTTTAAAATTCCATGTATTCCAGATTTTCCCTGTTCTCCCTGTGGAGTGGCAATCCTGTTATTATTGATGTTAAAGGTTGTGTATCTGGAAATATGTCTAACTGTTACTGTTGTTTCAATATACAGTGTGTCAGTAATATCATCAAGTCAGTAATAATATCAATTGTTTTATGACGAGAAAAGTGTCAATCACAATTTATATACATTTAAGGTTAAAAAATATGAACACATTTTACACTCAGTCATTTTCAAAATTGTTTGTTACGTATTAGAACACTTTTTAAGTTAAAATGTAATGTTTATATCTCTACCATAACTTTAAACAAAAGATTTAATTAATTACAAAATGAAAGTTTAATAAGAAATGGAAAACTATCAATAGGCACAATTTTAAGATATAAACTGATTTAGCTGCAAACATGAAAAGGAAAAAATTCAGTCATAATATAAATAAATTTCACAATAATTTTTGATTAAAATCTGAACTATACATAAAGGGAAGGGGAAAGATAAATGTATTCTAAACTGTATTTCATTAATAATTAAAATGACTGAAATATTTTCGATTAAGTTTATGAAAAATTTGATTTCATAAATTTCAATAACAATAGATATTTATTTGAGTTAAGAATAATATTTTTTGATTGCAATCAAAACATTTAAATTATAAAATAAAAGCCTTCAACTTAAATAATATAAATAAGAAATACTTATTTAAATACTCAAGCAAAGCAATACAATGAGCAAAATATCTATTTTGATATAGATTTTATTTTTCAGAAACATTCTTAATTTTTGGAAATTATTTAAAACATGCATTAAGTAGTAGTATGTTTTATCAAACCAGGAAAAACAGAGAAAAATCCATCTGAATTTTCAGTTATTGCTTAAAAACTTTCCATATTATTAAAGCATCAAACATAAATTTAGAATAAGAACAGCTACAAACTTTTCCTTTAATATTTAAAAGGGACAGGTTCTATTGTTTGTAGTAGTGTACGGCATTTCTAAAATAAATAGATAATTTATGCTTATAATGACTATATCATAAGAAGAAGAAGAAAAAAATATTTTTTTGTTTGATACCATGTTAAAAATGTATTAGAATGTTATCTTTCAATAAGATATTTTTTCTCTTATTCATAGAGGGAATTAATTTAGAGAGCATGAAATAATATTAGATATAATATAAAACAAAAAATATACAGAAAACTATTCAAGTCTTACAGTACATAATTATTGCTAAAAACACCAACTCAAAAATAAACAAATTTTACTACTAATAAAATTTTATTCAAAACACAGAAAAGTATTTGCTTGGTGAACAGCTATTACAGAAGTATAAGCAGTTTTTATAGCTTCGGAGAATTCAGATACTGAAATATTTAGTGCATAGAGTTTTCAGAAGAAAACTAACTGAAATAAAATTTTGAAAAACCTTAACAATCAAAATAAGGTAAGTATATTCATAGTATTTTTCATAAGTATAAATTTTCACTTTTTAATCAAAGTTACAAAGCTGCCAACATGGATATTACGAAATTCAGTAGATTTTACGAAATAATATAAATCACACGATAACTGTTGAATAATATTCTAAATATTTTACAAATGGGTACTTTTGTCATCAGAATACAAAAACTTTATCACTCTAATAACTATATAAATTGTCTGCAATATTTTCAGTTTATGATAGACATTAAATGAACCAGAAGTGTTTTTTTATTATGTTAATTCATTTTTAATAGTAATAGAAAAGTATTTTTTAAAAAAATTAGTTAAATTTTTTTTATTATCAGATTGGAGAAAGGAGCTCTGAATAAAAACGAACTGATAATTTTAGATAAAAAAACTTCAAACTGATTATGCTTCATTATGTATTAACAATACTTAATTAAATATTCAAGCAAGCAATAAATTCTATTCCAATCAGGATTTTTTTTAGAAAACTTACTCAATTTAGAGAATTTTCAAAAAAGTATTAAAAAAAAAAAAAACAGTAGAAACTGGCAAAATCCATCAGTCTATTGGTAAATCCAGTAAAGTTAGCAGCTATGAAATTACGTAGAAGCAATTCATGTGAGTTAACTTTTTATGCTTACATTTTCGTACGAATCAAAATTTAGGATTTAAGAAACAAAGGATTTAACTAGCATTTTCCTGGAGTTTCTCATTCAATACTGGTCATATTGTAGTATCTACAGGGGCTCCCAAGAGTGTTTGTGCACTTATGACTTACAATGAAACAGGGCCCTATTCCTTAGTTAAAATGAATATTTCAGAATGATTAAATAATAAGATTTATAATTTATTCTTTACAAAACAGCACACAATATTTTAAAAACGACACAAAACTTTATTTTTAAGAACTTACATTTTTCAGATAAATTCATAATTAAAATTATCATCGATTGCTTTATTCATTTATTTTTTTATTTATCTTTTTTTTTATTATTTGGTATAAAAATTGGATTTTTATTCTTGCTTGCCAATTCTATATTTTCTTTTATCCTTTAAAAAAGGCTCATACTCTCAATAAACATTTGAAAGTTATTATTGTTGAATCAGTAATGAATAATTCTAAAAGAGTTTATTTTATCCCATTCCTTATGGCAAAATGAGATAAAATGCTTAAAAGAACGAATTTAGATCAGAGTTATTGAAAGCTTGAAACGATAAAATTCATGAAAAAAAATCAAAAAAATAATTCATACGAGCATTGTCAAAGTTTCTGAAAAATCCTCCTTTCCCATCCTCCGGGATGTTTCCCAGACCGTCGCCAATAGCCCATTGTGCAGCTCTAGTGCGACGTAAATTAACAACAACAATAATGAAAAATTTAATAAAAATATTCTGCTTCAATTTCACCTGAAACTCTTCAATGAGTTATCAGAACAGCTAGAGTTCTGTCTGCAGAAGTTTGTTTTTACGAAAAACAGAAACCTTAGGTTTACTTTGTAAAATTACTGATAAATAAATCCTAAATGTATCAATGATGATAAAGAAAAGCAAAGGTAATATATCGGGTTGCCATCCATAATCCATAATTTGAACTTTGAGAGGTCAACATTTTGTAAAAGAAGAAATAAAAATTCCCTTTATTTTCCCAGTTGATAAGGGAAAATTCAAAATTCCCTTCATTTTCGATGACTTTTTAGGTCCCTGTATTTCCAGGTTTGCCCTATGGAGTGGCAACCCTGCAAAAGCATGGTATTAAAATGAAAAACTAGCTAAAAACTATAATAGTAAAAGAAAAGATATGTTTTGATGCAAAAGTTTCAAAAAAATTTTTTTTACAGACTTTAAAGCTATTGTAGATAGCAAAGAATACTTTATTAAATGTTAAATTTAAAAAAAAAAATAAGAAGAATATTTACTAATAGGTGGAAAATTTTTTAAAAATAAACTTTTGTTTTTAAAATACTCCGTGCAGTTTTGCTAAGAACAGAATATATATATCTTATTATTAAATATCCATTCTGAAATAATCATTTTAGCTTATGGATAGAACCATATTTAATTGAAAGTCTTAAGTGTACGAATACTTTTGAGAATATATGTTGTAGATTAATTGGAAAATCTGATTCTGCAGGTCATTTGTTGGGTTTATTACAATGAGTCACATTGCAGTTAGCAAAGAGCTGCATTTTCCAATTAGCCTAACTATATATATATTTCATTATTCACTATATATATTTCATTATTAAATATTCTTTACATTTTAATACAAAAACAACATTGAGGTAAAAACATTCTGATAAAAAAAATTCCTTCACAATTGAGAAAAAAGTTCTGTTATATAGCACTGTGGAACTGAAACAGTCTATGATATTCAAAAAATAGTAAGGAATGAAAACTGAAAGAAATGAATGTGGAAAACAACAACTGTTCAATTTGATAAGTCAAATATACAATATATCTTACCTTGCAAAACCATCTACTATGCTAAAATATACATTGTAGAACATTTTGATTTTTGGTAACAGTAGCAAAGAATAAAATGATTTTTAAAATGATCTTCGGGAAGTTCCCTAAAAGCTTTCTTTTATTATTATTTAAAACAGTTTTGAGAAAGTACTAATTATTTAATTGAAACTAGAAGGCGCCTTTTTCAGCAAATATCTTCCGCTTTATTGTCACGTTCCTTGCCCCTGCATATAGTCCTTGCTTTAAAATTTGCTATGTGAGCAGTATGCTGCAAGAGAAAACCAAAATTATAATCAGTAAATTTTTTTAACCGCTTCCCTTAACAATTTTTTGAGGAAAAAAAAAATGCAAAAAATCATTCTATTTTCTTATTATATTAATAATTATAAGGAACTAAAACAAAATCCAATACACATAAGTCGAAATGTTGATTTTTTACATGTACAAAACACATAATTTACCACCTGTTAACTATCCCAAGTCCTCTGGGGCAAATAGAAAAAGTTTAATATTAGTCTTTGTATGATAGTTTTTAAAACAAAAGACGGCACAAATTGATACTTTCCAAACGCCAGTGAAGTGATTAACCACTTCTTTTACTCTTTTTTTTATATGTAAATTCAGCAACCATAGTACAGTACAGAACCCGTTATCCGGAAATCAGAAAACCGGAAAACCAAAAAACCGGAACGTTATTTGATAAATTTTACCGCTATTTTTTTTTTTCAAAAAATTTTTTTTTCCTCATAAGATTTTAGGATTTTTCTTTCTTTTTTGAAAGATGTTTAGCCTAGCATCATTTTGGAAATAATCATTAGTGTATTACTTCGTTTTTTCAAGATTATTTCCAAATATTTTTTTTTTTTAGTTGGGTTCAACAATAAAAAAAAAAACGACTTTTTGTAGCGATTCAGAAAACCGGAAAAATCAGTTATCCGGAATAGCGATGGTCCCGATCGTTCCGGATAATCGGTTTCCTACTGTATCATCTACAATCACACAAAATGCATGCGCAGTCCCACAATCTAACAGTAAAACTCCCAAACAAAACTTGGCAAACTTCCAATCATAGCAGATCTTTTTCTTTGCTTCCAGTCAAGTAAAAAAGTGATAAAACAAAACTTACTGACAATTACAAACTTACCCCTGAGTTTTCTCGGGATAGTAAATATTTGCAATAGATGAATACCTGAGTTAACTCGGGATAGTAAATATTTGCAATAGATGAATACCTGAGTTAACTCGGGATAATCAGGATATAATTTTGTATATATTATACAAAATATACATTAAGAGGGAACACACAATTAGTGTGCTCTTGTGTGAGCTATATTGGGCTAACTATACTAGTTTTAATACAGAGTTCCCACTCTACTTCAGTAGAATAATTCCATGACTTTTCCATGCACACCAGGTAAATTTCAATGAAAATAGAGACCCTATTTTCATCAGAAAACCTTTGATTCTGTTATTTGTAATGTGAAATATTAGATTCCCTGAGTAAATCATTAAATGTGGATAGGATTATTTCAGTTTGACTAAAATGTGAAATTTTTATAACAAATTATTGTAATAGATGTTAGAATTATTTAACTCGAATCTTATTAATAACTGATTACTGTTATGGACAATTTTAAGACTGGTTATTTATAGGATTATTCCAGGTTTTTGTAAAAATATTGCGGCTTTCCCTGATTTTTAGATTATAAAATAAAATTCCTTGAAAATTCCAGGTTTTCCCTGACTTGTGGGATAGCTGAAAAACTTAAAAGGAAAAAAAAGTAACAGCTAAACATAGTAAAATAATGCTAAAGTAAATGAAATAGTATAGCTGCAATATCCTATAGATTATGCTTTGAGAGGTCACCATTTTTTAAAAGAGGAAAATAAGAAATAAAATTCCTTGCATTTTCCCAGTTCAGTAAGGAAAAACTCAAATTTCCTTGCCTTTTCTCTGCTATTTTAAGCTGATTTTTAAATTCACTGTATTTTCCAGGTTTTCCCTGTGGAGTGGCAACCAAGCATGTTTGATAACTTTTTTTGCATGAATACATATTAACTGGAGACACACAATGAAAAAAATTTTTCTTGTTGCTGTTAAAATTTAAAAAGTATGTTGATAGACATTATGGCCTGGAAAATTTGAATAAAAAATTAGGGTGAACTGTCAAAATTATTTTTAATGGCTCTAAGATAAAAAGCATGTTGTTGGCACTTGAAAAATTTTGATTTGCACTATAGTATATTCTCAACGAAAAGCATTACATTCAGGACCCTCTTACTAGGCATGCAGGGCAGCACAAAAATGGTTTAGACCCTCATAACATACCATTATGTTTAAAAAAACAAGCCAAAAACTTCACATACATAAAAGAAATCATTTTTAAGAAAGGATGTAATAATTTAAACACATTTTGATTGCTCCAAAAACTTTATAAATACAGTTTAATCACAATGTTTTTGCTTTTCCAAATTTAAAAAGGACTTACTCTGTGTAGCTTCGAAGTTCTTGAAGGCTTGTCATCTATTAGAGGAGCACCCAAATCAAAGATTTCTCGCAACAGTTCATTTTGCTGGAAGAAAAAGGACAAATTGATCATTTTAATGATGTTTGACTCTATATGTGGGGAGTCAATAGTAGGCACATTAGGCAGATATTTTTTTTTATCTATATACAAGGTATCAGCTACATTTCAGATTTTCGAATCCATGACTTTTCATGACTAATTCCAAGGATTTTTCAGGACTTAACGAAGTTACTATTTTCTCCGACAAAAACACAACAATAAATTAAAAATAGCATTATAACATTAATTGAAATGATAGGTATAACCAAAACTTTTATACTCTGCATCTTCATTTTTATAGATTTTAAATTTAAAAAAACAGAGGAAAGAAAGAGTTGAAGCAATAAAAGGGGTGAAAAAAATATGAAAGCAAATAATTTTTTTTTTCCTTTTTTCCTGTAGAATTATGTTCTACAGATACTTTTCTTGTTCATTAGAAAGGAAAGAAATACTCCCGTTCTCATTTCGAAATTAAGAAAAAACTCGCCAATGCCTGGTTTGCTTCAGCTAGAATTTTAAATTGATAAAATAAAAAAAAAACTAAATAATAATACATATTCTGGAAACACAGAAGTTTAAAAGATAATTCGCTTTAGAAAAGATGTTTCTTCTTTCATTTTTTTAAAGAACAAAAATAAAAACATCTTATATTTTAAAAAATATGACTGAAAGTAGGTTTTTTGTTACAAATTCAAAGATTCTGAATGCTGTAAAATTTGGGGGGGGGGAGGGGATTCCATTTTAAAAATGTTATTTTTTGGCGACTAAAGTCCATGACTTTCCAAGTGCGCAGATACCCTGTGTTATACCTTGTGTTTGACTAATTTTAATTACACAATGATTAGGCAATTTACAGAAAAATTGCTAATAAATTTTAAAATATATTTTATAGGGGAAAAATGCTTTAAAAATACCACACTTCGTGCAGTTTTAACCATTTTTGATAAATAATATATTATTGAGATAGCTGATAAGATCACATTTTTAGCTTGAAAAGTAGTAACATTTCACAAAAAGAGCATATAAAATTTTCAAACAAGAGGAATATGATTGACAAATTTATTATACCCTTTGAAAAAATTTACAATGATTGTGAGCGTCTCCTTTAATCCTTATTAATGCATATAGCACAATTTATGCATAATGTGGCATTTCAAACGTTTGATTATCAATGTGAAGTTTGAAATCAAGTGAAACGGTTAATTATCAAGATTTTAAATTTCCTATATGTTCCAAGTTTTCCCCGGTAGACTGGCAACCTAAATTTTACGATGGCTTTTTAAATACAGAAAGTTAAAGGCAGCATTTTAGGCATATTTCACTATTGAAAAAGTAAAAATGCTGTTCAAGCAGGGGAAAAATTATCTAATGTGTATGGAGATGTATTTACAGTATGCCATTGCCAAAACTGGTTTGTGGAATTTTGATACAGTAAAATATCAATTCAGATGCACTATTCCAGTTTATGCCAATGAAGAGATAAAGCAAATTAAAACTCCCGAAATCGCTAACAGATTAACTTTGTTGCATTTGAAATGCTCAGGTCTATTCTTAGAGCTTGACATACGGGTTCTTAGGGGAAAAAATTTGTGTCATTGCTCTATATGTCTGTGCATAGCATAGTAAGATAAACACATAGTATCTATGCACGCAAGCAAAAAGTATCTGCAAACTCATAATATTTTAATACATCCTAATATTTAAATTTACGAAAACAGTTAACAAAACAATTCAATATTTTAATTCATTCTTGACAAAAATATATAGATATATACATGCACATTAACAACAATTAGAGAAAGATCAATATTAATAGCAATGGATAAATATGAATTTTAAGAGCTGCATTCATATAAATCAATTACCATATTAAGTAATCTCAGAAATTTAACTCCAAACGATATTAAATTGAAATTTTCCTACTGTCACTGCAATCGTATAGTTTTGTTGTAAAGATGGGATCACTAATCTTTGGGCTAAAGTGGCAGTTCTATTTTTTCTCTTTGGTGGCAGCATGAATACAACTAAACATTGACTTCCTTCCATTGTACATAAATCATGATTACATCGTTCATAAAAATCAACTGGATCAGTTTTTTGTACAGCAAAGAACAAAAATTTTATGAATTATGTATCCTGCTGCCAGAAAAATGGCAAAGGTATTTATAGCTACTAACATGGGTAAGAAAAAATCCAGTAGATTTTACGAAATATTATAAATTTAGTGATAATTGTTGCATTATGTACTAAATATGTTGCGCATGGGGGAATTTTAGGGATTTTTATAGTCATCAAAACAGAAAAATTACAATATTTTCCAGTTATGATTGACAATAAACATACTTGAAATGTTATGTATTGTGTTTACTCATAATTTCGAATATTAATGGGCATTTAATTCATCAAAGATAGTTAAAAGATTTTTTAATTAATTTAAAAAGAGAGTTCTGAATAAAATAAACTGAACATTTTAGATCAAAAAAGTTTTGAGCTGATTTCTATAAATGAGGTTTGCTTAATTATGTATTAGTAACACTAATTGAAATATTCTGTACAAAAGTTCAATTTCAATCGAGATTTTTTTTTAGGAAACTTACTCTATTTTAGGGAATTTTTTAAAATGTACAAAAACGGAGAATTTTAATTAAACCAGTAAACTAGGAGAAACTAGCAAAATCCAGTAGAGTTGGCAGCTATGGGTATTGGACCAGAATAGACAATATATAATTCAATAAAATATTTATTCACTAAAAGAATAAATTGTCTTTGATTTTCTTAAGGAAAAAGCGAAATTATTTAGCGTAATTAAAAAACTTAACACGGATTATGAGTTAGATTGATCAGATAATCTAAAAATGTCTTTTAAAGCTTATAACATTTTCAAAAATGGGGAATAACAAACTGTTTATTTCATATAAAATACTTTCTTCTTAAAACAATTATTTTTTTAATGTAAAATCATATTTTTTTATAAATTTAAAAAAAAATCATGGTATAATTACTTAAACAGAGAACATTATTTTCCTAAAAAATTGAGGTATGAGTATGATATTGGTACCATTTATACCTTTAAATGAAGATTCATTCCAGATCCTAAAACTTGGCAAAATGCATCATAGCGTCTTTTGGAACACCAACTGTCAATGTACAAGATCTCGGCTTTCAACTTGATGCGAATGTCAGGGGGTTCTCCTTCCTGGAATATTAATTCTTTAATTAAAACCTTTTATGTCATCCTCATATGTGCATTTCTACAAATTATTACAACTGAAACAATGTACAGTGCGAAAAAAAAAAAGGTTACATTTTAAAAAAGTGAGATATTTAAAATTCCATTTCTCATGAACTACTCGATTGATTTTGTGCAAACTTTTTGTTTTGCCATGCAATATTATATTTTTCAAAATGATGCAAAAAACTATATACCTTACAATTCCATAGCTGCCAACATGGATAGGAAAAAGTCCAGATTTTACGAAATATAAATTTCATGGTAATTGTTGCATAATGTACTGAATATTTTACACATAGGGGAATTTTAGCGATTTCAATAGTCATCATATTATAGTGTTTTGAAGCTTTAAATGGATTATAGGACAACTATTAATTACACTATACAAATTTTACAGTGGAAATTCATGAATGAATGCTTTTAAGTTATCACTTTAAGTATAAAAATATTGATACAAATATTTTTGGTAATAAAGGCTGACAAAATTTTGTTATCACCCTAAAAATTTGCTTAATTTCTTTTCTAATTGCAAATTTTGCTAAGACAGAAGCTGTACATTTAAAATTCAATTTCTCAGGAACTATTCAACCGATTTCACTCAAATTTTGTATTTTGTCATGTAAAATACTTTAAAATTATGAAAAAATTTATATACCTTAACTGTTCAAGTTTTTCAACTATAACTAAATAAAATAATTAAAAAAAAAGAGTAATTATGAACTGAAATGTATTTTGTTTCATGTAATTAATTACCTTTGGATAAATGAGTTTCAGAATTGCGCAAAAAAAATTTCAATCCTCTTAGAAAGTTCTCGGCATAGGGTGCAATACGCAAAGAATAAAATTTACATTATGGGTCCAAACTTCGGATCGCTCTCCTGACAAAACTATGGGGAATGTATTTCCCAGATAGCGGCTTCCCCTATATTTTGGTGGTCAGAAATCTGAATTCATCAAAAAAAATAATAATAATAAATAAATAAAAAATAATGTTTATTTAGAGAAATTACGTTTTTGCGTCTGATTTCATAACTTAAAAAATCCCCTGCACTTATTAATGAGGTCAGCTCCTCGAACCATTAAGATTGAGTGAAAATTTGATCATTAGATTAAAAGTTATTTAGGGTGGTCAATTGTTTTGTGCACTGTACATGATATAATAGAACTTCACATTCCTAGAAAGCAGACTGATTATGGTCGGCTTTGTCTTTAGAATGGTATTGTCATTTTCTGGGAAATGTTCATAAAGGAGCATCTATTGTTATAATTGTTTAAGAGAACAGAGAACTTACTTTATATTGGAAAAAGAAATGTAAGAGGATAACAGTACAAATTACACAGAAAGTAAAATTACAATTGTTAAAATGTAATAAAGCAGTAATAACAAAATGAATATTATCCCTAAATTATGCACCAAATGACAATTGTATTTTAAAAAAAAGTAAATAATAATAATAAAAAATTGCTCTACCTCAATTGCTCTAAGGATATCCCTAAAACTAGATCTTTGTTGCCTTCTATCTCTTTTGGCACGGCTTTTCTGACCATCCGTTGCGAGTAGTCTGAGTTTATCACATAAGAATTCAAAATCCTCTCCTTCAAAATCCTTTAAAAACAAAAAAGGTTATTTTTGAAAACATGGAATTAGCACAATTAAAAAAAAAGGCTAATTAAATAAATTTATATCTGCACAGATTAGTTCACGTGTGAGATTGAAAAATATTATTTTAAAAAGTGCGAAAAATACATACTGCTTACTCATGCAATAAAAACAGATATAATTGTGACACCAACTCAAAATGTAGTAAAACCGAAATGTATTACTTGTAAAAGAGAAAGGTGCAATCTGCTTCATAAAATTATTGTCTGCATTTAATTGTGTTTAAAAGTAGACAATTTTTAACGAAAGCAGATGTGTGGGATTCCAAATTAGACAAAACATGCAAATGATACTGCACCTCTGAGGAATCTGAACTTATTCAGTTAGAAAATATTGTTCCTTTAATGCATATCAAACAAACATTATAAGTAATCACTTTTGGAAGCACTTGATTTATGACTGTTTACAAAGCAATTGTCTTAGTTCATGATTAGATCCCCCTTTCTAAATTCAAAAATAAATCACTGTGCTCCTGTATAAGCTGTTTTGGACTTACTATACTATTGCTGATAAAACTTAAGGGATGAAAAGGTAAATTTTTATTAAAGTAGGGCATATTTTAATAATAAGGTATATTTTTAAAAAAAATAATGCTAGAGTAAATGAACCAGTTTGATGTAGCTGAAATATCATCCTTAAATATCCCATAGATTGTACTTGGAGTGGTTACCATTTTTTAAAAAGACCAAAAATAAAAAACAAAATTTCCTGCATTTACCCAGTTATTTTAGGTGATTTTTAAATTCCCCTCGTATTTCCCAGGTTTTTCCTGAGAAGGGGCAACCCCGCAATATGAGATCACTATTCTTTCTTAAATAAATAAAAGTTAAATTTACTTCTCTGCACTGCCTAGCAAGTTCATAGAATACTGCTAATGTTTCTCCAGCAGCAATTCTCAAGTCCACATCAATACTGTCAAGCAACTGAGGCAACTTCTTAAAATGGCTAAAAACAATAACAAAGAATTTCATTTCAAATTTATAAGTCAATATATAAAAGCATAGTCGAACAAACAAAACAAAATAAAATAAATTCTTTTTTTCCGAACTTATTGTCATAGTATTTAAAAGTATTTACACAGTTCATGCTCTACTTTAAATAAAATTCAAGTACTCTCAAGGACTTTGTAAGACTAAAATTTTCGAGAACTTTAAATTCGAGTAAAAGAGAGACTAAAAAATAAGACTTCCATTGCTCTCTCTTTATTTCAAAAAGTAACCTAAATATTACAAAAAAAAGCAAAGGTGATTGACATCAAGTCAAGAATAAAATTAATGTTGCATAAAAACGTCAGATTTGAATTTTACATAAGGCCATAAATTTTACATAAGTTAGGTATACAACCTCTGAATAAGCAAAGATTCGAACAAGTCATGAAGAAAAGAGGAGCATTTCTAACAATCTATACAAAAATAAAAACAACATATACTTAAATTTATTTATAAAAACAAATCTACAGTTAAAGTAATGATATTAATATACATACATACATAACCAACTTTAAAAACACGTATCATAAAGAAAGAAAATCCAAGATTATTTATAAAAAGTAAAGCAGATCATAACAGTGAATAAATTAATAAAGAAAAACACATCAAAACTTGGAAAAAGTATGCTCAGTTAATAAAAACGAGTGTTTAGCGTGAGAAGTTCAACACGGAAATGCTGGAAATAGGGTGGTTTTAGCAAGTTTCCAATATTTTTAAGGTCATTTTAAATTTTTCAAAGATTTAGCATTATTTTCAAGTACTTCTAGGGGCTCTTGAAAATTAAAGTGAAATTCAAGTACTCTTCAAGGCCACAGAAACCCTGTATTTAACATGCTAACATTTGCAAAAAATGAGATACTTTGAAAATTGCAAGAAATAAGATAGATATAATAGAAAAACTGTTAAAAAGATTTTGTTTTTAACTGGCTTATTAAAAAACTGGCTTATTAAAAAATAATGAAGAAAGTTTTGATTCAAAATGCTCATAATTTCCATTTTTTAATTAGTTCATAAAAATTCAAATATTGTTTGAGTAACTTTTATTGCATCATAAATTTTATTTTTCTAAAAATATAATAGGGACAAGTAAACAGGTCAGAGAGAATGTAACTAAATTTTTGTAATTTCTACTCCTGTATGAATCTGATATTGTATAAGTAAAATTAATTCATTCAAAATAACAGTAAAAGTCAAACTTAATGTAAAGGTAATGAAAGTTTATCCTCGTCTATGTTATGTTATTACACACATATTATTTACACATATATGTTATAAAGCTGTGATAATAATTTACTCTGCAAACTTATTTGTATGCAAATGAAAAATATAGTAAGAATTTTAGGAGAACTCCCCTAGACACTAATCTTGTGCTTTGGCAGGTACCATGGTGACTAGAAAAAGTCACTTTGAATAGGGGTAAATAGTTTTGTTGGCATTGAATTTTTTCAAACTATCTGCGACAAAACTCTCTAGCACTAATATCTTTCTGCAAGATACTTTTAACAATTACGAACATATATGTTACTAATTTAAAAATAACAAATGCACTGAGGTTATAAACAAAAACTACATAATTTGTTTTTAATTGAACATGTAATAATTTTTTATTCTTATATTATGGTGATATTCTAGCATTGTGACTGACATTCAAGCATAGCTAGAAACGTACAAATTACTTCATTCCTCGCATTTGTTAATAATCATCACAATAAAAAATAATTAAAAATCATGAAATCCGCAGTGGTAATTGCTGAAAAAAAAGATCAAAGACGAAATTAAGCGAATTGGTCTCCTCGAATGCTTGTTTCGAGATTAGGCTGTAATACATAATATTGTATAAAAAAATACAAGATTTAAAAACTATGGAGAAATCATTATCATTAGTAATAACTGCCAAAAATTCAATAGAATTATTATCTTAAAAAGTAAATACTCGAAAGCACAATTCGAATTTTCCATATTGTTTAAAATATATCAAGATATTTAAAAACCACCTGAAAATCAAAATCAATCACTGCCGAAAATACAATAGAAACATTACATCGATTTTCAATACTACTGGCGTAAATTGAGCGCCTCAAAAAGTGATTATCTAAATGCATGATTTAAATGTCAGAGGTACATTTCTGAAGAAAAGAAATGCAATTGTTTTTATACTTTGCAAAAGCTTTTCTTTTTTTACTTTGCACCCACAATAGAAATGTGCTCTTCATTGTTACCGAGGCAGCAGACAGCTCCAGATTTTAGGTCCGGAGGAGTTCTCCTCAAAATTGTAGAATACAGTGTGTTAACTTACTTGTTTACAAGTGCCATGATGTAAGGAGGGGAGAGAAGAGTGAGGAGCAGGTTCCAGCCGAGCAGTGCGCTGCTGTGTAGGGAACTGATTTCTGGTTTAAGAACAGGGAGGACGCCATTACCTTTTAATAGAGATCCACTAAAAACAGAATACAGGGAATCCATTGTAGATTGGACCACCTTTAAAAGTAACACTTGTGTTGATAAACTAAAGAAAATAGCATCTAAAAAGTAGAGCTAATCAAAATATATTTTTATTTAAATTTAAAGGAGAAAAAAATTAAAAACTTTTAATCTGAAAGCTATTGACATTTTTACAACAGTAGAAAAAGGAAGAGGGAGAAAAACCTGATATCAGTTTTAAAACATCAGAAAATAAATAAATATATATTCATAAACCTTTTCATGAAATAAAGAATTCAATTATCATCTATTAAAAAAGTATACAAGTATAAAAAAAGCAACACATAAAAAAAAAGTTTCATTTTATGCAAATTGCATGTTCAAGATAATTTAATTATGCAAATTGCATGTTCAAGATAATTTAATTATAAGTTTATGTTTTAATTACGAACACTTCCTATCACACCTGAATGACAGGTACTTAAGATAAAAGTAAAATTTATTATTTTGCACATACATCTAAGTTTTCATTAAAAAAAATCTATATTCATAAAAAAGAATGCCTTTATTTATGTCAATTATATACAAATCCACAGTTCTCTCTCTTATACATATATTGTACAACTAAACACAGCTGCACTCATAGCTTCCAAAATGGATAGGCAAAAATCCAGTAGATTTTAAGAAATATAAATTTAGAGACAACTGTTCCAAAATATACTAAATATTTTACACATACGGAATTTTAGGGATTTTCATCATCATCAAAATACAAAAACTTTATTACACTAGTAACTATAAATGTTCTGCAATATTTTCCATTTATGATTGGCATTAAGCGAATATGAAAGTTTTTTTTATTTTTTTATTACGTTAACTCATAATTTATATATGACATACATAGATACATAGATATGTTAATCATTATTAATAATTAAATATTTCATTATTTAAAAAGGGAGTTCTAAATAAAAATTAACTAAAACATGTAGAACAAAGAAACAGTTTACTATTGCGTAAAAATTCTATTCCAATAGGGATTTTTTTTCTTCTAAAACTTAATTTCAGGAAATTTTCTAAAATGTACAAAAACTGGGAGAATTTTTATTACACCAGTAGAGTTGGCAGCTATGTGTATTAAATTTAAAAGTATGATAAACATCGCTGTCTACTTAAAAATATTTCCGACCACTAATTTGAATGTTACAGTCCCCCCTCCACTTTAAAAAAACATAATTTCGATGGGGGTTAATTCAATATTTTATAATATCAATAATTTATTAGCTTACAGTTCTATAGAATCAAAAATAAGTTTCAAACAGCACACTTATATTAATTATCCACGGTCAATTTTATAATATAAGGAGGCAACATAGGTGGCATGAGGATTAACCAGCCAGAGATTATCTTCAACGTTGAATAAAGATGGGCATTAAATAACTTTTCTTAATTGATAAAAAAATTTTATTTTGACTCCTTAACACTCCCTGTTTTTATTAACTCTGATCCTTAAATTTAACTAAGAAGTGGTAATCCACACTTGTAGCATTGCTTTCTCTTTACTTTGGGTAGCAGATTGGAATTAGTAATCAATAAGCTACACATCTTTCAAAACTTAAAGGATAAATAAAATTTTAAATATATTGAAAAGCATAACTTTTCAATTTTTTAAAACATTTGCTTTCCAAAAGTTAGATTTTATAAAATGGAAATCATGATTTTATTAAAGGATAGTTTGAACATGTTTTAATATTGCATGCCAACCTTAGGAATATAAAATTAGGAACACTATATGCGACAAAATTATACGCACCAATTACGAGAGCAAGACAAAAATTTAACTATTAAATAATAACATTAATAGACATATATTAAAAACCTTATGTTAATTAGTAAAAAAAAATTATAAACACTATCTATTGAGGGAAATTTATAATATTAATATTTTATAATTAGGAATACCGGTATAATAGTTAAAAACAACAACCATTACCTATTAATATATAATTATTATTCTCCAAATTATAAAACACAGGTAAATATAAAACTACATCATAAACAAATATTTCTGATGGAAACGTTTAAATAATACAATACATTTTTAAAAAATAATAATAGTTACTTAAGATTCAAATTAGTGAAATGATCAGCAACAGCTATTGGAATAGTATTTTCCAATAAAAAGCTACTAAAAATTACTTCTGCACATTAATCAAAGGAAGCGCGATTGTGCCGATCAAAACAAGGAATTGGTTTAAATGCAAAAATATGAAAATTTCGGATTTTTTTATAAAAATATCAGATTTTTAGATTTGATTTAAAATTTAGGAACAAATCCGAAAAATTCTGGACAGTTGGCAACTATGATTCTGTTGATTTTGTTCTTGCACATTTGATTACAAAAATCAGCCGATTATTATAGTTTGTCTAGGGTAAGACCACATCCCCCCACAAAGTCTAAGGCCATCTGCGCTATGGAAACAAGAATAGAATAGAATTTAGGGAGGGTAGCTTCCCTTAGGGTTAACACCATAAACCGAATAAGCAGATTCCCTATCTTTCGTTGACCCGAAACCCGACATAAACAATTACTCCACACCCCTATTAGAAATAGTTATACCTCGTTACCATAGTCACTGCCAGACTAATGGCTAGGAGAGCTTTTACTTTAGACAAACTGTAGTGAACTAGTGATTTTATTTATGGGGGTCATTGTACCATGATATTAGTTCATCAAAAGTTACACCAACAGTAAATTATTTTCGATAATTAAAACTATGATATGGTTAAATCTTTACTCTCACAAATGAATAAAGTGAGAGCAGATTAATTAATAGCATAAAATAGTAATAATTATCATTAATAGTAAAAAACAGTTATTTGTAATTGTCTTGCTTTCCAAAAACAGTTATAAATTAGCAATGTTTGAAATGCTTATCTACAGAAACTTGATATTGCATATACAGATCATTTACTACTGATTTTTATTCATTAATTTCATTTTTTTTTATTAAAAAAAAATAATAAATAAATTACATGATTAAATAAATGACAAAGCAGATTTCCCCAAATAATTGCTGAATGAAAAGTAACATGAATTTAATGTACCTCAGCTCCAGAGCATGAAATGAAACAACAAAGGCCAAGAGATGATGCACACTGTAAAAAAAAAATGAAATTCCAAATAATTTATCACATTTCCTAATACATCTTTGCTTTTAATGTAAAAGCAATCTTTACCTGTGCTCTGACAGAGGGAGAGACTGTTGTGTCTAAAAGAAGGACCATCAAAATGGGTTGCAAAGTCTGAAATACTAATTCAGAATCTTCTACTGAACTCAACTGTGTACAGAACAACGCTGCCACCACTGCTGCTAGGATTTGCTCATCACCTTTCCCACGTTTCAGGCTTCTTTCAATCACATCACAGAGAGTTAGCTTTCTGGGAGAAAAAAAGACATCAATATTGCTTTCTTATATTGGAATAGTAAACAGTCACTGAATGTAACAAATAGCGATTAAAAAATTGTCTGCCAGTGCCATTTTTTTTTTGTGTGTGTGCATTTTTATTAATAGAGAATTTTTAAGAATATTTTACAATTTTCAGAAAGCTACCTTATTTTAAAATCATTTCTTCATTTTAGAAATAAACCTTGTAATGTAAACAAAATTTAAAGAGATACTTTAGAAGAAATCCCTTACACCAACCCAAACAGTATATTAAGTTGCAATGTTAACTGAATAAAATGATTATTAAAATCTAAGTTTTAATTCTATTCTAATAGAAATTACCAAAAGTTTGAGATGTCTAAATTGAGAAGATTTAAATATTTATGTAACAGTCTGCTTATCCTTAAGAAATAAAAATAATAGCAAAACAATTTGAAACTTGCATTGCAACAAAACAAGTTATAAATAGTTACCAAATATTTAACTTTCTAATTCAAAGTAAATCATGCATTCTTATTTAGTAATCAGGAATACAAATTTTAAGTATTTTTGAAAAAACTTGAAGTTTTCATCAAAAACCAAGTAAACCACAGGTTTTTGATGAAAAACCTAGGTGGGCTAGGATTTTTTAAACCTTGTTTGTTACAGATCTGTTTAATTTTTAGTACAATCATGAATTTTAAAAATGTTTTTACAGCTTTCTATAAATTTACAGTTACTTATTAGACATTGAAATCTTATACAAATTTCTTTAGTTCTTCTAGATTTTTGGAAATAGTTTTTGTTATGGATTCTACTTAAAAAAAATTTCTGATATTTTTTTTTTCTTAAGGCCTTACTTCATTCCTATAAACAGATGCATTACCAGTAGGACTTAGCTTCGAGAATTCTGTTGATTTTGAAGGTCAGTGTGGGTCTTCTACTTTGGTACCTTAGAACCCCCCCCCCCCCTCCAAAAAAAAGCACTATCTCTTCCATGCGCAATATCTCTTGTCCACACTCTATTCTTCTCTTTTAGAATGCTTCACTCTCCTCATAGAGTATCATTTTAGGCAAAAGGCAGAATATATTAAAGAAAGAACATGCTTCCTTCCCTTGCCTGTCGCCTTTCCACACACATTCCCTCTTGTCTATTTAAAAGGCTTTACCCTCGATGCATGGTCTAATTCTAGGTGATAAAAGAACAACTTTTTGTTTTAAAAAAACTCTCCTCTCAACTAGTGATGCTGAAAAATTTAGGCCCTTTAAAAACTTATACCAAGATTAGGTACTTTTAAGATTTCCACAGCCAAAGACTTCCTGCGTACAAAATGACGACAGGTGCATGCTAAAGCTGTCAGGTCACTAAGTCCTTCAAGTTTCTATAACAATTCAAAACTTTATATTATTATATATTTTAAAACAAAAGAGACAACTCTTGCAATATATATATGCAGGGTTCATGCTCTACTTTAAAAATAAAATTCAAGTACTTTTCAAGGACTTTTTAAGACTTATTTAAAATTCGCAAGGACTTAAATTTTAGTAAAAGATAGACTAAAATTTAAACCAAAATGTCTTGAGAATAATAGTTAGTTGACGATAAATGTTAGACGATAATAGCAGTACTCAAAAATAAGACTTCCATTGCTCTGTAATCTAAGTGTAAAAAAAGCAAAGGGTGATTGACATCAAGTCAAAGATAAAATTCATGATGCATAAAAATGTCGAATTTGAATTTTACATAAGGCCTATTTTAAGCTAGGTATACAATTTCTGAATAAGCAAAGATCCGGACAAGTCATGAAGAAAAGAGGAACATTTCTAACAATCTATACAAAAATGAAAACAAAGTACACTCAAATTTATTTATAATAACAAATCTACAGTTAGAGTAAAGAAAATAGAAAACATATTACTTAAAATTATTAAAAGATATTTATTAGTAAAAAACTCTTGCATCTTAAATGATATGTAAAGTTCAAAACTAGCATTAACAAATATAATAAATAATTTTTGAATGCCTGTGGTAAATTATGATTGAAAAAAGAATCAAATAAAGCGGACAAAAAAAAGCTGAACTTCTACAACATAGTCACTGGGAAGATAGAGGGGGGGAGTGTTCTATATAATACTGTAATATCAATGAGATATATAAAAACAACTATGCCAGGAGATTTTTATTTAATATTTTTAAATATTTAAACTGGCAGGAGCATTTAGACAGTGAAATTTAAATTGTTCTTAAATATAATTTTAAAATTTTGACCACTTCTCACTCCTCCATTAAAGAAAATTAATCAATTATTGCCCCAGCTTAATTAGCATTTTAAATTAATTACCAGTCAATCATTTTAAATTGAAACAGTTGCAAACTTTCAGCTAATTATCTTCTGATCGATTCTTCCTAACAATTTTCGTCACTTTGACTGTTTTAATTAACCAATCATACTTGAATTTATTAAATTTTTTTCAGTAGCATTAATCGTACGCACTTTGTGTTTGCCTTTCAATTTGACTAAACGTCATCATAACTGAACTGACTAAAACGTAATCATAAAACAAAATTTTTTAAAATTAATAATATATTTTCATAATAATATATTAAATAGTAGCTATGAATTTTTTTTTTGATTTCATGAATGAATTTTTGCAGTATATATAGAATTACTGTTAATATTTTTTTATTCATTGAATTTAAAAATTTTAGATTGTTACTTATTCATAATAATTATTTTAATTTTACAAATAATAATTTTATATTGCTTTTATTTTAAAGAAAAATAACAATTTACTAAGTTAGTTTTTTAAACTTTTATTTGTATTAGAATTATAAAAAAAATGCCTTTTAAATAGCAGGTAAGGTCAATACATTAAAGAAAGCAAGTATTATTTGAAACACACAATTCAAATTTTATGTCAAATAAAAATTTTATTTTTCAAAAGTAAGAAGAAACATAAAGCATTGCTCTACTCTTGTTGGCTAGCATATAATAATCCCTTTTCCCAGAATTATGTAGCAGGTGCAGCAAATGAGTAAAACGAATCACCCCATTAAAAATAAAGTTTCGGGTTATCTTCAGAAGTCCCCTTCCACAAAAAGGTATTATTCCATCATTTGCAACACGTCGCTATTGACGAGACACATGGCTGAACCAATTATTTATTTCACCTCAATCTTTCTCACTAGCTAATACTTTTTTTTTTAACAAATCAGTTAGGATTTAAAAAAAAAAAATGTGATAAACTTCAGGGGCCCCATTGGAACTTGGGGCCTGGGCTCATACTTAAAAACGGATCAGCTCAGGAGGATCCTGCAGGGAGAAAAAGTTCCTTTCAAGTCCAACTAGTCATATTTCTCTCTTTGAGTTAAAAGCAGGGACTACAATAAGATCAAACCTAGAGCTAAGTCAAACCAGTCTTTGCTGAGGACCACGTTGAACAAAGAGAGAAATTGTGACGTGAGCAACTGATAAGCGTGGACAGCACACGTCATCACCACAAAGGTAGGAAAATCATTCTCTTGCACTTACGTGCATCAGAAGTTAAACACAGAAATGCGGAAAATGGGGCGGCTTTCAGGAATTTCAAATACTTTTCAAGGTCATTTTAAATTTTTCAAGAATTTAACATTATTTTCAAGTACTTCTAGAGGCCCTTAAAAATCAAAATGAAATTCAAGTACTTTTCAAGGCTGCGGGAACCCTGATATATATATATATATATATAGATAGATAGATACACACACACAATTCTCCATGCACAGCAAAACGAAAATAACTAAATAAATTATAACCCTCAACAAAATTTAATTTAATATTTACTTAAAATATGTTAAACAACCAAGAAATTTGAATAAATCCAATAGAAATTAAAAATATCACAGCTGTTCCCAGAATTATATAGATTTAACATAATAAAAATTAAGTAAATCTAATGTTTCACATGACCAACAAGAAAATTTGTCGTAATAAAATTTGACTATGTTGCCTGAATAGAAAGTGTTATGCCTTTTCCCTCTAATAAGTTAGTTTAACCCACTGGCGGTTAAGGAAATGGGCAAAATTGGGAGAATGTTTCTCCCCTACACACAGTTCCCCTATCAGTTAACATGGGAAAACCGGTTTTGCTATGCAGAGAAGACTGCAGGTTAAAATGCGACTTTTTACGTGCAGAACCGTCAGTGGGTTAAGAGATATAAAGCACATAATTTTGAGTATGTTGAAATATTTTACCTCTCAGTTAAGAACTCTCCCATATATTTTGAAGACAAGCTTTTCTTGATGACTTCAAGGGATGCTATTCGAAGTTTTGCACTAAAAATAGAAATTTGAAAAAATTACTAAAATAAAAATAATAATAAATAAATAAAATTAATTTTGTAATACAAAATATGAGACTTTCAGAAATTTGACATAACAAAAAAAGACAAATGCAAAAAAAAAAAAAAGGAATTGTTGAAATTTAGGTAAACAAGACTAGACTATAGACAATTTTACTGGTTTCCGTCAGTTTTTGTTTAATTCAAAGATTTTTCGCTTACATTTTTTAGAAATTAAAATTTATTTATTTTTTGCCTTACTTTGTTTCAGCAATTAAAAATTTAATAAAAATGTAGTCAATTAACGTAAATGCAGTCAATTAACGTAAACTTTTAGAAAATATATTCCCTAGTAGTAGCAAAAGGTTATGTAATGTATAATTATTTAAATAAATTGCAATAAAAAAAATGTTGTATGGCACAACACATAAGTTGTTTAAACAGGCATATGAAAGATCAGATAAAAAATTCTGAAATACTTTAAGGTTTAATAAAAATTCTTTCAATATTAAATTACTGATTTAGTTTACCAGTTAGCCAGTGGTAAAAAGACTTCTCATAAAGCAGCTCAAACGTCAAAAAGTATGAATAAATAGAACTAAATTACTATCAAATATTAGAGACAAAGAGGGAGGTGGAAGCAGATTTAACCAATATTTCAATATTAACAGCTTACAATTTTTTTTTTTTTTGTGAGTCAGTTAAAAGTTAACCTTTCTTTCTAGTGTGATTTTGTTAGATTGTTACTCATGCAACAAAAATTTAATTTCATTTGGCATCTGTTCTCAGCCTAAATTACAAATTTTTTTTTAAGAAGTAAATAATTAAAATATTTTGAAAAAATAGATAAAAAGTTCTTTTTGAATGAAATTCAATTGATTCGTTATCCATATGTAAATATAGGATAAACTTTTAGGATTTCAGTTTTTCCTGCAGCAAAAAAAGAAAAACAATATAATCATTTGTAAAACTTTAGTTTATATGAATATATACAAAAGTTCAATCTTTAGAAATATATAGGATACATAGATATATATGGATTGTCACACTTGATAAAGTTCGATAAATAGATTTTTTTGGATAATATGTCTCTAAGGTAAAACAAACATCAAAATATTTTTAGTCAATAAAAAAATAGATGATAATGCCAATTTTCAACAACAAATAAATTCACGTGGTTTGCGAGGTTGCGCTATTTTCACAGCTTTTATTACAGATTTTTACATGGCTTTTGAAATCTCAATATTTCAATATGCCATTATAACAAATCACAAATTCTGAATCACGCATTTAAATTAATAATCATTGAACGATTACACAGTGATATTTCCAATTCTTTCGGTAATTATCATAGTAGATTTTCATGTGGTTTCTAAAGTCTCCATGTTTTAATACATTATTTCGTTCGGCATACATCGAATAGTGCATTTCATCCTCAATTACTGACGCTCCAACCACAGTTCCCCATGGATTTATGATTGTATCTTTGGCAGTTATTGCTATAGATTTTCATTGTTTTTTAATGGCACGTTATCATACACGGGAATTTCGAATCGCGCATTTGCAGAGTTAGTTTTTTATGCACTGGATTTGAGATGAAATTGTCCCTGTGGTTTTGTTGATCGCATTTTTAAGAGCTTGGGACACTAAAATCCATAGTTTTTAAATCTTCGAATTCATTTTTTGTATAATATTCTAACAATCTGCACTTTTGAATAATAACTTTATGAGCCACTTTAGTTGCGACAATTTCACCTGAAATCCGAATTTTTTTTTCAAAATGTGACATTTTTCTCATCTGAAATCGAGTGTTTGATTCTTGGCAGTAAAAAATCCTATTATATGATATGCAGAAGAAAAAAAACACGCAATTTTTATTGCATTGTCGTGAAATGTCAAATTTTGTTTTCGTTATATCATTTCTTTTTTTCATATTATAGCATACATCAGATAAAAATAGAGATTAAATTGAAAATCTTAAAAAAAATCATTAAGGAGCAGAAAAGCGAAAAATTCTCATATCTGCTTGCTTCTTTTTAACATGTCGCAAACGTAAAAAAATTACAGACATATATTTTTAAAAATAGGCAAAAGTTTTGCTTATTTTGATTGCTAAAAAGTGTCCGATAAAGAGACCCTTCCGGTGAAACGAACACCCAGATGTGGTATACTATACTGTGTGTATATATATCACAAAAAATACAAAACAGGATAAAAAGAGACAAATGAAGGGGGGGAGTTATTTATATATACATATACTTAAAACACTATTGTTACCTTTTTTGATAAGTGCCTTCAATAGCTTCTTTGAACTTATCCTCAAAATTATCAATCAATACATTTTCCTCATCTACCTCAGTTACTGAAAGATTTTCACACAAAAACTTTAAAACAAACACAGCCCATACATAAAAAGCAATTTGAATACATTTTTAATTTAAAAAAAAGATAAAATATTTTGGGTCCCAGTTACAAATGCCTTAACATAATGATACAAAAGTATTTGCTATAGATTTTAGTATTAGAAAAATTAAATTCTGTGAAGGGTTTCTCTAAAAACAACCTAATCACACGTTCAAAGCAAATGGAAATTTATGGTTTTCTAAAGAGGATAAAAAAGTTCAGAAAATTTTTTTTTTAAAGTAAAATAGGGCACTTATCGTTTAGAAAGCACAATATCTCAATCATTAACAATAACAAAATATATTAAAAACAATATCACAATCAATATCGAAAACATATATTGCTAATGACTGAATAAACATAATACTAATTATTGAATATAACAACTCAGAAAAACTACTGCTAACACAAGGTCCTTTTAATGAATGAGTATATCGCTAATGGGCTGCAATAGCTGCATGACTCAAAAAATCAAGTTTTGAGATAAGTAGGTTTAAAGTTTTCATTGCTAGGCAAAATGCATAAGAAATGCTTTAGTTTGCTTAAACGAAGGTTACCTTCAAGTTGAATTATGAGTTGCTCTAATATTGCTGCTGAAAGAATGTGTATTTTCATATTTACACCAGTTCTTAGTAAAAAAATGCGTGTTTTTTAAAGTTGTGCCATTATTGCAGCCTATGAGCGACATAAAATTATTTTAAAAAATGACACAGTATTTCTCATTTTGAATTATAAATTTCTATGAAATGCGACTAGTCGCATTAATTTTGATGAATGTCTACCAGCTAACTTTGAAGAAATAAAACAACGAAGATTTTACTAGCGACATATTAACCTAAAGAAGATCTTTTAAACCATTATTTATAAGTATTTAAACTATTAATATTCAACATACTGCAATACTGGCAATAGCACCATTTATTGAGGAGTAAGAGAAGTAAATTTGGCATTAGCGGATATTTTATCGGCAAATACGCAGAATATTCTTAAAAAGAATATTTCAACAAATGCACAGAAATTTGAGAATATACGAGAAAACATGAAATAGTTGTAAAATACAGTTGGTTAAAAACAGGAGACTTGGCAAGCATGGAATGAAAGACCTCATCATTTACAGGGTATCTACTATCTTTCAGATTTTCGAATTCATGACTTTCCATGACTAATTCTAAGAATTTTTCATGACTTAATGAAGTTACTATTTTCTCCCGACAAAAATAGAAAAATAAATTTAAAAAGCATTATAATAACATTAATTGAAATAATAGGTATAACCAAAACTGTTATACTCTGCATCTTCATATTTATAGTTTTTAAATAAAAAAAATGGATGAAATAAGGAGCTGAAGCAATAAAATAAGAGAAAAAAAATACAAAGGCAACAAATTTTTTTTCTGCAGAATTATATTCTTAAGATAGTTTTCTTGTTCATCGGAAAGGAAAGAAATACTCCCGATTTTTCTGTTCTCATTTCAGAATAAAAAAAATTCGCCAATCGCTTTCTTCAGTTAGAATTTTAAATTGACAAAATCAAAATAAAAAAATAACAAAAATTTAGAAATCACAGAAGTTTTTAAAAGATGATTCGCTCTATAAATGATGTTTTTTCTTTCATTCTTTGAAAAAACACCATAAACTTTAAAGAACATGATAAAAAAAATTTATATTTTAATAAAATATGACTGTGAGTGGGGACACCATGTTCGAAACGCCATGAGATTGGGTGGGGGTAGGGGGATAAATTCCATTTTAAAAATAAGATTTTTCAGCGACCTAAATCCATAACTTTCCATGATGAAAAAATAGAATCATGACAAATTTATTTCAATACCGAAATTCATGGCTTTCCAGGTGGGCAGATAACCTGCATTTATGAATTTGTAATAATTTGAAAATTGAGATAACTTTTATATTGAGTCACAATATCATATAAAATTTTTGTAAACAATTTTAAAGACATACTTGTATCATCATCACTATCAAGTCTTAGCTCAGACACATTACTAACAACGCTTGCAGTGTCAGCAACTGATTCTTCTTCACTAGCAAAATTGGAATCCTGTTTTTGACGCCCAACTGTAACACAATTTATACTTTAATAACACACACACACAAAAGGAATTTTTTTTATTTTCATATTCAAGAGGCCTAAGCAAATCAGGGAGTAAAATAATACTCTATTATCTGGTGTACAAGTTAACCTTGAATTTTAAGAAGTTGATATATACGTTAAAATAATCAACAAGTTTTGGGAACTATGAGCAGTAGCAAGCGAGAAACTTAAAAATAAACATCACAGAAGGGAACGAAATTGTAAGATATAGCTTGTACAATAAATTACATATTATTTTTCAAATAGTTTTTACAAGTTCAAAAATCCATCCCTATGGTACCTTACCACATTAGTCTCAGTAAAATAAAAATATATTTTTAAGTATGAAGATTTGCAAAAATAAGGAGAATAAAAATTATTATAAATGATACACGCATTAGATATTACAAAAAAGAAAAAACTATATACAACAATTTAATTACAGTAGGGAACCGATTATCCGGAACGATCGGGACCATCGCTATTCCGGATAACTGATTTTTCCGGTTTTCTGAATCACTACGAAAAGCCGTTTTTTTATTGTTAAACCCAAGTAAAAAAAAAAAATTATGATAATAATCTTAAAAAGAGGAAAAAACGATGAAGTAATACACTAATGATTATTTCCAAAGTGATGGTAAGGTAAACATCCTTCAAAAAAGAAAGAAAATCCTAAAATCTTATGAGGAAAAAAAATATTTTTTAAAAAAATGGCGGGAAAATTTCTCGAATTTCGTTCCGGTTTTTTGGTTTTCCGGTTTTCTGATTTCCGGATAACGGGTTCTGTACTGTATTATCAAGTCATAAGAAAAGACCACTAACAATATGTCAGGGTTAGAGGAAAAGCATGCCCCCCCCCTTAAAAAAAAGAAAAACTCTTTTTTTTTTTTGTCGAAACCAGTTTTATTCGGTTTAAGCCAGAATATTTTAGTTTATTAAAAATATTAGGTTAAATATTAATTCATGCTCTAAATTAAAAGAATTATAAGGTATGATTGTGCATATAACAAAAAGTGATTTGGCAGAACAGCGCAATATCAAATATTTGACACAAAAAAAATTCATAAGGAAATATTTTTTTAAATAAATAAATTTAGACATTATTAAAAATTAATCAAAATTCGGATAAAAGCGAAAGTATTTTAAAACAAGAAAAAAAGCTAGATAGAAATGAAACAAAAATCTCTCTTAATATTGCTCATATATAAAACAGCAAATTATTTTATATGTTAAAATATGAAAATTATTTATGAAATGAAAATTTACAATTTTAAAATGACATTCTTATCTACATTTAAGCTCTTAAACAAGAAAAATATTTTGTTTCTTAATTAATTATCAATGAGATTTGATAACAGTTTATTATCACAACCTTAAGATACCTGAATACCTTCGCAGACAAATTTCTGAGATTTTTAATTAAGAATTTTTTTTATATTTAGATTTATGTGTGTATTATAACACTGAAACATGATATGAACATAAATATGAAAAGAGAGGAAACAGGCCAAAAGAGACCGATAATTGGCTCTTTTTTTTCCAGAATCCTTAACCCTTGTTAAAATTTATTGTTCTTTCATTATCCTTTCTTTACAATACTCATAAAAATTCAACTTAGAATGGAGAAGACATTTCTTATGAAAATGAAAGAAAATAATTGAAAAATTAGCCTTTGTGATATTTTGAATTGATGTGTATAAATTTTTTTCTTATAAGAATGCCTGCTGGTTTTGGTTTACCTTTCCCAATAGCCTCAGTTTGGCAGTTTTTCCATTCATAAGAAACATGAATGCCTTTGGTTTCTGTATGTCAATTTGCGACAAGAATCACACCTTAGTTTACCTTTAACATTAATCTCTTACATTTAAAAAAAAATATTGATATCGTTCTTTCGTCCAGCATTTAAGAAGACTAGTTTTGTTTTCCTAGTTAACACTTAATGATTCATCTGTATAGACATGCTTTCCATTTCTATTATTCTTTCAACCAATTTCGAATCGGTTTTAGATCTTTTAGAAAAATTGTCCGCTAAATTCAGTTATCTTTTTTTAAAAAAATAATTACTTGAAAAATTGTTGAATTATGTTAAATGCTCCAAAATAGTAAAAATCTACAATATACTTATTTCTGCAAACTATGAACAAAACTCCTGCAAATGTTAATGTTTAAAATCGATAAGTGACAGGAAATCTTATAAAAGTTTAAGAGTCGGTAAGCATGCATCAGCTGAATCCCCTCACTGGCTTAGACTCATCTCAAATGCTTTTGTTTTACATTGAATGTTCTTGTTTCATCTTGAATGATCTTGTTTTAACTTGATTGGTCATGCTGTAGAATGTGAAACTGAATGAACTAGTTGGAGGATTATTAAAGATTTCTTAAAATAACAGGTCACTCGTGAAGAAGTTTTTGAATTCTATTAGACTTGAATGCAATTCCCTAGAAATTATGATACATTGTTGAAACTTCAGTTAGATTTTAGTTTTAAAAAAAAAAAAAGTTTTTTTTCTTCTCCAAATATTTGTTTAAATAACTGTAATAACTCTTAATGAATTTTATATTCTTGAACATATTTTATCTAACCAAATTTATAGTTATGTAGTTATAATAAATTTTATATTATATCTAGTTATTTACTAATCATTACTTTATTTACAAATATGTAAAGTTTTATGTTTGCAGATGCAAACATATGTTAAATTTCATACCACTTGGAGGACAATTTGATCGCCAATACATTCCTTCAAAGTTAGGGGTGCATTACCTAAGGCCCAAAAATGGCCCTCTAAGTCTCTTAACGTGTTTCCTGAACTGTCTAAAATATTATAAAATTTTTTAAAAAAAAAAACACTAAATTATTTAAGCCAGGTTCTTTAACAGAAAGCTACTACTTTCATTTAGAGCCTTGCTTAAAATATAAAAGTTCCACTGATGTAAGGTACAGAGTTTGCAGTGAATTGTAATTCTTTATGAAATTGTACAACTAAACTAAAAGAGAAATTATTTTTTTGCAAGTTGATACGGGTGCATAGCCAAATTTTTCAACAAAAAATTAGCACCTTTTAAGAACTCAAAAAATATTTTAAAGCACTACATTAAAAAAAAAAAATATCAATTAGGATAGGCACACTAACAGAACTATTTCCTTCTTACTGTTGAATATTCTTCAACAGTTCGAAGAGAAGAAGAAAAAAACTCTTCGCTTGATTATCTTAGCCGCCATAAAAAAAAGTTATGCACGATTTTAAATATATTCAACATTGAGTAGTTCATTCTGTTTTTTCAATTAATAATTACTTTATTTAATTACATAAAAAAATTCATTTTAATTCAAAATTATAATTAGTTTAACTATTATTTAAAAAGTTATTGAGTGATTTAAATAAAAGTAAGAAAGCATATTCAATAAAACACCAACAAAATTAATATAATTGATCATATTGACTTTATAAAGATATGTAAAGAACAAAGAAACTAATAAATTCATATTACTAATGTAACTCAGTGAATAACCCCTATTAAATTTTTATTAAAATTTGTTACTTCGTTGAGTATTTGTTTATTGAAATGATTGAAAACATTAATTTTGAAATGTAAATAATGAGTATTGAAGCTAAACATTTCTGTTAGGAGTAAATTATTATATGCTACTTACACTCATAATTATCAACAAATATGACATTATTGAATCTCATTATTTCAATAATTTTTAAATTAAGAGAAGAATTAGTTTTTTCAAATGACAAATCTGAATAAAGATTTTTTGCTGCATTTCAAGTAAAGAAAACATTTCACTTCATACTTTTTAAAAAAAAATCTTGCTTCTATATATTGAATATTTTAATAAAAGAACTTATAAGTATAATTAAAATCTTAAAAGCAATAATTAATAATAATAAACAAAAAAATTAATACAGTACAATAAAGGATTGAAAATTTTTATGCAATTAATAGATTATCTGTCAGGTAAAAAAAATTATGGGATTAAAAATCTCAATTAACTCTTATCTTTATAAAAATTAAATAAATAAAAGGGAGATGGAAATTTTGACGTGAAGTTTTGTGATGGTACACTACTCTTAACCACATAAAAAATACTTAATTAGCGAAAGATCTATATCAAGTTGAAGGATTCTGTTCTATAAATAGAAGAGAGCAAGAAGCCCATACGCTTCTCAGTGATGAAGACGCTTAATCAGAGATGAAATTAACAAGAGGAACAAAATTTTCTCTAGCTATTAGAGAAAAAATTTGACAACTATTCCCCATGATTAGCAAAAATAAGAGACTTTTAAGTTCCATTTCAAAGGGCACAAAATGAAACCTGAAATTTAAAATCCCTTGCAGAGTTGGACAGGAGAGCGCAAGAATTTTCCAACTGAGTATAAGCACATGCGAACCAGCAAGTATTTTATCAAACATGTAAATTGATACTCTTCCACATTACAGACTGACGGTGCGATGAAATTAATTGCGAAAAAGTGAATGTGAAAAACCCGCTTTTTGCGAAAATCGACATGGTAACAATATTCAATAAGTCATCATCAAAATAAATCATTTTGGATAAAGGAAAATTAAATACTTTAAAAAAAAAAAAACACCCAATGAAAATAAGTCACTTGAAGTCTTTTTTAAAATGCTATGCAGCCTGTGATAAGATGAATAAAATAATGTAAAATTTCAAAAATTCAGCAATAGTCATCACATTGATCTGGATCTTGTATTGTATTAGAAACGCATTTAGTTTTCTGAATAACAATATAAGTTAACTTGCAGATTAAATGTGATTATTTATATTTGAATTTAAATAATCACTACGTAACTAAGTTATTATTTAAATTTGAAATTTGCGCATCATAATATAGTTAAAATATGGGATTTTTTAAAATCGTGCAGAATTTCGTAGCAATAATCATTGAAAAGCGATTGAGAAACAACATAGATTTACAATACAATCTGCGCAAATTGACCGCATCAAATAGTGATAACTCAAATGTGCAATTCAAAAATTACGACATTTTTTTTCATTTTTTAAAATGAAATAATTTTGTTTAGAAGCTCCTGCGGGTTAGAGGTTGAACACCCCTATCCAAGGGCATATGATTCAATGTACATTAGGGCGTTTCACATCAATTTCGACTTTCCAAGATGAGTTACTCAGTTTCAACACCTTAAATATAAATGTAAGAGCAAAAACAATTACTTCAAGAAATCTAAGGGAAGTTTTTTGTATCAGTATATATACCAAGATATTCATCATATTTTGGTGACTTTCTGGCAGTGATCGAGAAACTAAAAATAATCTCACAATATTGAAAACTCAAAAGGTCCACCTCATAACTACCCTCAGCCCAGTGGCAGAATCACGGCGACATTGTCGCAAAACGTTACAGAGATCTTGTAGAAAGATTTTTCCTTTAGAAAGTAAAAAAATTCGGTTTTCTTTTCTGCAAAAATTTTTTTTCTCTCTAAAATTATATTTAAAAGATGTCTTTTTCGCGCATCGGAGGGGAAAGAAATATTCTTTAATTTTTCGATTCTTATTTGAGAAGAATGAAAAATAAAGAATATTGAAGTAAAAAATTTCTTTTCTGCAGAAATGTTAGAAATATTTTTTACCTTCATAATTATATTCAAGAGATACCTTTTTCCCTCATCAGGGGGGAAGAAATGCTCGTGATTTTTTTTTAACTTCCTTTCGGAAAAAATAAAAAAAATTTGGTTTTCTTTTCTTTCACTGATTTTACGATTTTTAATTATTATTTTTCTATGCGATGATGTTTACGAAATGCGAAAAAAGAAATAATTAGTGTGTTTTCCTCTTACAAAATGTGAGAATATCGCCCATGATATAAGAATAAAAAAATATTGCATACTCATCATTTTAAAAAAAATACATAAAATTTTATTATATCCAAATAGGCTTTTCTTTACAAATACAACGTTTCTGTTACTTTAAATTTAATTAATAACATGTATATTAGTTATTATTAAAAGTATCTTGCAGAAAAATATTAGCGCTAGAGGAGATTGTCGCAGAAAGCCCAAAAAATTTCTGCCACAGGGACCCTCAGAATAGATATATTTTTCTCTAAATTTCAAATTATATAACTAAACAAATTTTTACTTCACTTGGGCAAATTCATTTATTGCTAATGAGTACCTACTAATTCCTAAAATCATATCAACCAAGAGTATTGGGTCATAATTTAAGAAAACTTTTCCTACCATTTAATTTCTTCTTAGAATAATATCAATATAGCATTTTTCATAGACTTTTAGTCAAAATACAAAAGTATACAAGGAAGTAAATCACATATTTGCACTATACAATACTTAATTAACTCTAAAGATTAAATCATAATGAAACAAGTATTTATAATCATTTTATTTCACCTTAAAATAAATAAAAAAAATTTAGTAAATTTCTAGTCAGAAGACAATACAAGGAATTAAGGAAGATACACAAGGAAGTAAATCAGATAATTGCACAATACAATTGCTAGTTTACATTATTGATCATTCTAAATCAATTATATGAATGTATTAGTATCGATGTTGCTAATTTAAATGTATATATTAGTGTAAACAATCATGCATCACTAAGCATAACGTCAAAACGCATTGCGTAAGCATAACGTTAAAATGTCACCCAGAGATTAGATCTAGCAACCGAAAAGTATTAGTTAAAAATAAACATGCTACATTTAGTAATAAACTCTTTATGTATCTTAAATTTAAAAATATAATATAGAATTTTTTAAATGAATACAAGGAATAACAACAAATAAACATAATCTTAACCCTATTACACAGGCACTAACCAAATTTGTTTTTCTTCTTCCCTTTAGGCATTCGTAAAATGAAAATTCCAATCTAATAAACTAAAAATTTAAATGATCAAGAGGGGCAACAAGTTGATGTAAACTTTTTAAAGTTTTCGATCATCAAATAAAGAACGGAGTAATCACAATCATTTGTTGACATCCACATGGCGAAGTGTTTGCTTTGAAGAGCAACTGTGAAATGCCAGCAATATTTAGTAATAAATTAAAATAAATAAATAGTAAGTAAATTTATTTTTAACTTGTCATGTGCATTTTAAATGACTTACAACATTTTTTTTTCCAATTTATTTGCAAACATACATTATATTAATCGAAGTTTTACTGGTAAAAGACTTTAATATCTGATTAATGTACATGTGTGTCATGTGATGTAGCTTTTTTCCTTATCATAAAAATTTTATATTACTTGACTGCTTTCTATGATACAATAATTTTTAACTGAAATTAAATTTTTAAATAGTTTAAATGAAAAGAGAAGATTATATTTTCTCGGCCAACTTTTTCACCATGTTTTTAAATTTCTCTTTGTCATTTGGCAACAACTTGCATAATACAGACAGATCGAGACATTTTAGTTCGTAAGTTTCTCTGGCATAAGCGTCATGGTGAAATCTTTTATCTCGTCTTTTTGAGTTGTGTTTTAAAATGAGTTCTGATCCTTGCGAGTCCAGTAAGCGGCCCAACGAGGAATGCCAGCAAGAGAAAGAATTTACAGATGGATCTTCGCCATTAAAAAAATTTCGTGGGATTGGCCCTAATGAGCACGCCAAACCAAAGCGTCGGGGGAGGAGGGGTAAGAAGCGTAAACAGCGAAAGTCGTCCAATAGTGGTGGCGCTGCGTGTGGTGGTGAGCACCATGAGGAGTGCAATGTTGATCATCCAGCTGAGTGCGAAAAACACTGCATGTCTTGGGATTCTGATGAGGAAGACATCGAAGTAGAAGATTTTAATTTATTTGGCGATGTGTTGATTAGACCGACTAATGTTCCGAAAGCTCCAGAAAATTCCACACAGTTTATTATTGATGATCACGATGAATGCAGATTGTATAAGAGTTTCGAAACTCCTAATCCTTACTTGCCCGATTTCTTGCGACCCGAGAAAGATAATTCAGAAATCATCGAGCCAGAAGGTGAAGATGCCGCATACGTTGATATAAATTATGAGTACGAATCTCCCCACGATTTCGATAATTCCGCGTACTATGACAAGGAGTTCGAATTATCCTATAAGAATAATCGCTACGACGAACTTTTGCGACTCTCTCGTGAAGAGTTGATTTCTGGTCTGAGAAATTTGCAAGACCACATACAGGAGTTAAACGAGGAATTGGTTAAAGAAGACCCGGATCCTATACTTGAGCGGCTACAGACTGAACTTTTAGAGCAACAAGAAAAACATTCCCAGCTCAAGGAAGAAAACTCTAGATTGCAAAAGCGTCTAGAAGAAGCCGGGATTGATTATCGGTTACTCGAAGAGAACATTGCAAGTGAAAAACATCACTTAGTGGATCATTTAGTAGAGACGAGTGATCTTTTAGTGGACGCAAGTGAACAAACTAATGTGGAGAATCAGTGTTTAGAGGATAGCATGCAAAATGTAAGTCAAGAACAACTTGAAAATGATTCTACATATGAACCAGTTTTACAGTGTTCAGAAGAGTCATTAAGTAAACAAAGCACTCAGTCACCTTTGAGTGTATATAACCAGAAAGATAATTCTGAAAGTCCGTGTCACATACCTTGCATGGATGCTTCTAACAAAGAAAATGCTTGCTACGATGAACTAACATTTGAAGAACGTCTGCAATCGGCTAAGTGCACTCCACGTCATGAATCCTGCAATGATTCTTGCAGTGAACACATTCCTGTGAAGGGTATTTTGCGGGATTCCGAGTTCAATGAAACGCAATGTTGTGAGGATGTTTCTGATGAACATGAGATGAACGCAGTTACAGTGTGATATGTATAGAACTTTCTTTAAACAAATTGCTGCTCGGTGAATAAACATTAGAACTTGTTAATATCATTTATATGGCCAAATATCTAGAATGAAAAGTGGTATTGTTTTAAAGTTTTCATATTCAAATTGTCAAACTTCTCTTTCTTATCTTTTTGAGATTATTTATTGTTAAAAATAGTTAGAATTTGGTTTTAATCTTTTTTTCCTCTTCTTGTTCAATAGTTTGTAATTAATCAACAGAAAAGTTCATTTAGTTACCTAAATTGCCTAAGGCATGCATGTACATTTCTGGGCCGACCGATAAGATGGTTGTGTATTCTGTAAAAAATATTATTAGTCAAAATTATTAAAATTAACTGACAAAAGTGTTTATTTCTTTATTTATATTGTGACTTAGAATTTTTTTTTATTTGTTTACAAAATCTTTTGAAGTAAAGTTAAAATGATTTTTACAAATAAATAATTTCGTTTTATAATCTATTGTAACTGAAGAGATTTATTGTAAGATATGAGAAGTAATAAGTTTATATATAGTAATGAAATTAATTAATGGATTTTAAGAGAAGCACATATCAGTCTTGTTTAAAGAAATTTTCAAGGGTCATTGTATTCCGGGGTTTTAGTATAATTTTTCTGGGTCTAAAAACTTGAAGCAAAGCGTGTGATTTTTCTGCCAATACTTCAGAATTCCATGTATCTCATAACCATTAATTTGCAGACTGCCGGTAATCAAAAACTTATGATCAGACAAAAAAAATAATAATGATGATTTTTTTTTTTTTTTTTTTTTTGAAAAATTCTGCTTATGAGATGTTTACCTACACACAATTTTTTCCAACATTTCGTTTATTTCTGTTCAGCAGATTTTTGCTCTTTTGAATAATTAGGACTGTGCTGATATCGCATGTCTTACAAGATTCTGAAATGAAACATCAAACTGTAATGTGTTGCTATTCCGTATTCACATGATCTAAAAATCATATATCAGGATTCATTTTCATGAGAATTTAAAATCTAATGTCATGATTCATATTCACGTGAGTTTGAAATCCAGCAATGTGATTTGTATTGGTGCATGTTTTAAATCAAATTTTGCCTTGTGCTCTCATGCATTGCAATATTAAAAATCGATTTTTATATTTTTCCATGATATAAAAACTACACATTGACATTCCTACTCACATGATCTAAAAATTATGCATTGTGGCTCATATTTACGCAATTTAAAATTCAATGTTGTAATTTGCATTTTTTTTATTTTAAATTATAATATAAGAAGTAGTAAGTTTTTTCTTGAGTGGTTATTTTAAAGGTGTCATATTCTTCATTATAAGTTCCTTTAATTATATATACTAGCTCAAAAAATTACGTTAAAAAATATTATTCATGTTTGATATATATAAATTAATATCTTGATAACGATACTCAGGGTAAATTCACATTTTTCTGTAATAATTTTTAGAGTTAAACTAGTAACCTTGTGAACTAAATTTTTTGTCATTTTGTTGAACTTTTAATATTCTTTTATAAAATGTGTCGTTGCTCAACTATTCACAAAAATTAAATTTACATTTTAAAAATACTCAAATTGCTTCAACTAAATTTACTTACTACTTTTAAAATTAGATTTTTAATTTTTCAAGAAAAAAATTTTTTTTAATGGTTTTAAATTATGTTTAGAACAAAATTATAGACAAACGAAAGAAAAATACTGTGTGTGTGTAAGTTATTTTTTCGTAGAATTATATTAGGGTAAACAAAAAAAATCAATTCAATTTAAAAATACTTAATATGATAAAATATAGGTAAAATTAATAATAACGGATCTAAACTTTGGACCGAACAGCTACATTAATTAATAATCTGGTGGTACTTTCTAAAATTATTTTCGTTGCATGTTTTTTTTTTTTTTTTCGATACAGATATTGATTTGAAGTTTACTTGCAAGAGTTAAACACAGAAATATATATTAAAAATGTTTCTTTCTGTTTGCAGTTATGTAACATGTGTTAGTTGTATTTTTTTTTTTTCTCCAGCTGAGTAGTTCTGAAAAAGAACTGAAATTGTATCCATGGTTCCTGCGGTCCTTGAAAAGTTTTCTAGTGGTTGTAAATTTAAGTTAATGCTAGAAGATATTTCTTATTTTAAGATACCACTTAATCCTTAAGTGGTTTAGGAACTTGAGCTTTAATGCATGTATACTTTCTTTGGAAAACTGCAAAAAAAAATTTTTTTTGGTGGTTACACAGGAATTAAAATTTGAACATTTGTTTTATTATCGTTTTCGCTTGTTAAAATTTTCAAGAACTGCGGGAACCCTGTGTAGCACTAAAATTTCCGAAAGAACAAATTTGAGGGGTCAAAAACTATGATTTCTTAGATCTGCGCAACCTATAGCCGGGGGCCTGAACTGTCTAAATACTAATAAAAATGTGAAGAAAAAAAAAGTTATCGAAAGTTTTTTGGCAGCTGTGCTTTGTACAGTAAGTTACTGATTTATTTCAGTCTTCATTAGAGTACCAGATTATAACCATTTAATTTTGCAAATTCTTTTTTTGGCAAAAAGTAAAAATAGATTTCTTATGAATTTTTATTAATAAATGGGAGGGATTCCTTATTCGAAAAGTAAATGTTAAAGCATAGGATTTTAAGAATGCAATTTCGTTATTCTGATACTATATAGCAGGGGTGAAGGATTATTTGTGGCATGTACCCGAGTTCCCTTTCAATTTTTGTGCTATTATTTTTAAAAAAATTTATTATCTTTCTGTAAGTGTTTCAAAATTGCTGAGAACAAATATGAAAGACTAGGTGCAACATTGTTCAATTCAAGGAGAGTTTTCCATTTCTAATATAATTATGACACAAAAAGCATCTGGAGAATTAGAATTAATAGAGATGCAAGAAAATCAAGCTCTACATTTAAAGTTGACGTTGATTACTGAATTTTGGAAATTTGTACCAGAATCGAAGTATCCTGAATTAAGAAAGGCTGCTTGTCGAATTATTTCAATATTTGGAACAATGTACTTATGTGAATCGTTTTATTCCACTTTAAAATTCGTTAAATCCAAACACCGATCAGTATTAACTAACCAGCATCTCAAAGAATTACTGAGTAGTGCTGTCACCATTTATTCACTAAATTTTAAAGAATTATCAAGAAGTAAAATAAATGTGTTTAATTTAAAATTCAATAAATATATTTTGTACTTTTACTTATATGTTTTCGATAAATATAATTTATGCAAAAAAAATTTAATACCTTTTAAATACATATTTAAAGGCGGCTCGCGAAAAATTTCAAATTTTGAAATATGGCTCGACTATGTAGGAGCTTGGCCACCCCTGATATACAATAAGCAGTAAAAAAATGTCTGACTAAATAATAGTAAAATTGAAATTTTCTTAGTTTCTTTCTCTTTATTTGTCTCTAATTTATTTGCTTTTTAGTCTACGTTTAGAGTAATTTAGTTTAAATATATTTATTTAATTTATATTATCTTTATTATGTGAGAAATGTAATTAAGCACGTGTAATTCATATTAGTATTTTTAACTAGAATCTAAATACACTCTGAATTTTTACAATTATATCTTAAGTTATTAGTGACCCTCAGCATAATACTTCCTAACTTTTGTACAACTCACCAACAGCAAAAATAGTTCTGCATCATTGTTGTGACATTTTTAATTTATTTTTTAAATTTAAAAATTTCCATGGTGGTAGTCTTATCAAAATTTACCTTGAACATGGATGCTGTTCACAGGAAACTGGAAAGAACTCAATTATATAATAAAGATTTGAAGTTTCCCCTTTCAACAAGCTAGACTACAAGCAACATAACTAGAATGAACTGACAAGAGAAAATAGCTCCTCAACCTCTTGTTTCAACGTTAAGTAAAAAAAACTTTTCGGTTTAAATATAAATAGATTTTTTAATTCTAATCGTATGGAATCCTCGTATTGTGTAGGGCTAAAACACACTAATAATTTCCTTTTTCGCATTTTGTAAAACCTTCATCGCAATAAAAAATTGTGAAATCCGTAGCAGTAACTACCGATAAAAAGATCGAAGGCAAAATCACGTGAATCGGAATCTTCAAAGAAAGATTACTGAGTGTGTGTTTTCATTTCGATAGCTGTAATAAACAATATGAAATTAAAAATAGAGGATTTTAAAAGCTATGTGGAAGTCAATAGTGATAACTAAGCAAAATAATAAATTTCTGCAGAAAATAAAACCAACATTTTTTACTTTCTGCAAGAACTCTGTGACCATGTCACCATGATTCTACCACGGGGTACCTATGTTTATCTAAGTGAAGCCCTTCATTTTTTTTTCCCGCTATTAAAGTTATCAACAGATTATCATGCAAATCATAGGTAAGAAAATAACTGCCTATTGAACATTTAAAAATTAATGAAGTTGGTGGCCGGAAAATGTTCTTATAAAGGGTTAAAACTAAACTACATTAAATCAAAAGTTGTATGTCATAAAGCAAGTTAATATGTAAATTAAAATATATATAATAAATAAAAACATCAAAATGCATTAAAATTGAACTTTCAGAATATAGCGTTTCCTGTATTTAAAAGATTGCAACAGAACATACTCCTTTGTAGATAAAGATCAGGGGTCTGTACAGGCCGAATTTACTAACGTTTAGTGGTACCTTCACAAATTCAACTTCAGGAAAAACGTTAGTTTCACAAATTCAATTTTAGGAAAAACGTTAGTTTCACAAATTCAATTTTAGGAAAAACGGTAGTTTCACAAAATACTTTTTTTGAAATTTTATTTTTGTATCCCTTAAGAAACAATAAATCCATATTTTTGTGTTGATTTTTTTAATATAATTTTTAATTTTTCACAAATTATGTCTAAATTTTCACAAAATCGGTACCTCTCAGAAAAACCTAGACAGACCCCTGAAGATATTGGATGTATTGTGCTTTAGAATGTGTCTCAACATGTTGTACTTATCTCAAGGTACAATTACCTAATGGTTTAATTAAGTCAAAATTTTAGTCATTCTAAGATATCATTATTTTCTCACAACTTAACATTTAAGAATCTTCCCTTCTATTATCAAATAATTCAATTTTAAGTTTTTAAAATAAATAATCTGAAAATAGAATGAATGTAAAATTTTGACTGTTGAAACTTTATGAAAGACAGGAGTCATTCTGTTACTTTTTTATTCCTTTCCAAAGTAGTTCTGTTCTGATATTCTTGTTTTTTATTTTGTTTAGAACATCCCATTTTCTATGAATCTTAAAATAATCAATTTGGATTCTTGATCTAACTAAGAATGATTTGTCATAGCTGCCATCTGTTCAGAATTTTTTGGATTTGTTCCTA